GGCTGGGCCATCTTAAGAATTAGCTGTACAAATTTTGACTCCCGTCTGCAAAACCATTAACACAAGCTTAAATTAAAATAAAATTAATATTACAAGAGACCTGTTGGAAAAGCATAAAAGGTATAAAACATTGATTCGGATTTCTTATAAAGTGTTCAATACAAAAAAATCATTCATTGAGTTAAGTTACATTAAATTTAATAAAAATTTACATTTGACCAGAACCTAATATTAAAGTTATATAATTCTCATTTTAAATTTATATAGCTCTCAAAACTCTTCTGAAGTTTTACTATAAAGTTACAAGAAATTGCAAATTAAAACATGCTTGACCACACGTGGCAAACGAAATTTAACAGTGAATAAAGACTTGTACAAATTGGTTAATTATGTTTTTCAACTAAATTGTAGCACCTGAAAAAGTATTTTAAACATGAATATAAAAATCCTTAAACTAACTAAATGTAACACTTACATTATCACAGGAGCCGTGCAAACTTGTAGCCAGCACCCCCACTAGTACAGTGATATGATTTTAAAACCCAACGGACAGATAAGCACTGCCGACCTCGGCCACCGCAGGTGGCGCTAAGGGCGGGAAATTCAAATTAAATTTAAAATAGGCTTTAAAATTTCACAACATACTATGTACTGGCATAAAATTTTCCCCTGCTTTTTAAAATTTTACAAGCCTATAAAAAATAATAAACTCACTTAGCTCTTCTAAACATTACAAATTTTCATATAACAAAACCAAACATAATTTATACATTTTCTCCTTCAAAGAAATCAAAGTTTTCCGACGCAGGAGCGTCCGTTTGAATTACAACTACTTGGCGGGCAACCATCGCAATAGTTCTAGATTTCCTCGTTGCCATCCGCCAGGGTACAGAGCGCTGCAATCGCTCGGTCTAACATATGACAGGTTACAACAATAATCAAGATAAGACAACTTAACTTTCACTCTGAAAAATACGGCAAACTGATCGTAAAATAAAGTCAGACATTTTCATTTAGAACCTTTAAGAGTAAAGTATTACATTTCTTAATCTAAACACATGCTGTTAGTACCCAAATCTTACTTTAAACTAACTTTATATGACCTACTATTCCTGAAACGAACCACAAAATTGTATAAAAACCTATGTCAAACAAAACTTAACATTAAACTCTCATTTTCCTGTATATTCCCAAAAGTGCGCTTAAGGCGAAACCCAAAATGGAGCATAATAATAATGTTTGTGTACATAAAGTTGCAAAAATAACAAGTGTCTAAGTTCAATGTGAAGTACCCTGTGTGTCCCGGGCCACGTAAGTACCAAGTGTGATGTGTAACTAAATAAAAACAGATAATGAGTGTGAACATTCGTACCACAGACGCGCTAACCTTTTGCTAATCCCATACATTCAAACTTTCATCCCTAGCATTCACTGATTCATCCATCCTCGATCATTAACGAGAGTTTAATTTATTCGATTTATCATAAAATAAGTCAACTTGACTCTAAAACCTTCCTTTACCTAATTATTTATTTTAGGTCATATTCAGTTGTGTCTGCCGTATTTAAAAAATCCTTAACTGAAACATGATTTGTCCCTAATTCTTATTCTGGACAGTAAAAATAAATAAACTCACAAAATATAGAATTGCAATTCATTAGACAGGTTTATGATTCCAAACAAACAAGATACGGACAGTAGTATGAATCCATTCTCGTTATCAGTGCCCTAATCATCCTACCAAACAATCACGGTCAACTAGTTCTCAACTGTATCGTTTATTCTCAAACAAACCTTATGTAAAACCTTATGGACAAATTCAAAATTGTAAATAAAATGTTCAGTCTGATTTAAAATTAATTACAAGCATTACAGATCTTTACCCTAAAATGCGTTAAATAAAAACATTTTATTTTTGAGAGGAATAAGGAATAACGGAAAACAAGGAATCGTATTCTTCAATCTATTCTTCAATCTATTCTTCATTCCATCTTCGTTTATCTTCAGTTCCAGTCTTCATTGTTGTTCATCAACAAAATACTCCTTTTATGTTATAATCCATGTAATAACGAAATATTTTGTAACTGTCTTAGATCTTGCTATTTAATAAATGTCACCTTTTGCTAAACATTGTCAATAATTGAATAACCTAGTTGCCTTCTCAGCATTAAAATAAATATGTACTCCTTTGTTTATTATTTACAAGCTCAGCCGTGCAATGCATCCAGTCCCATTTGTGATCTAACGACTGTTATACAAATTGCAGCTTATACTGAAATAACTTTAGTTTGCCGTGCCTTTGTTTATGACTATTCATATAAATAGGCGTTGCTATTATCACCAATCCTTGTTATTTACGTTATCACCTTATCTTTGTTCACCAACGTAAATAAACATTCTGAATCTTATATTAGCACCTAATTTTATGCTCATTAATCCTTCTGCTCCTCCGAATTTCTTATCTTCATATAATCTCCTTCTTTAATCCTTGAATACACATATCTATGCAGATTTGTTATTCACTCTAACGTATCCATAGTGGTTATATTTTGCACATAATATGTGCAATACAAAATACAAATAATATGTACACCGTCCTTCGTGATCTCAGTTTCTTAGCCTAAACATTTCCTAATCTACTATTTACAATTTTAAGGTGTTTATTTACAATAGACTGTTTTCCAAACTTCGTGTCCGACAGTATTTGGAGACCAGTCTATTGTAAATAAACACCTTAAAATTGTAAATAGTAGATTAGGAAATGTTTAGGCTAAGAAACTGAGATCACGAAGGACGGTGTACATATTGTCCTTTCAAAATGTAAACATGAAAAATTTGGAAGCCCATGGGGCGTAGCCCAAGGGAAATATGAAAATTAAATGATATAATATCGCATTGTCATGCATTTGTGAGCTATGTTTCAAATTTCAAGTCTCTAGCTTATCGGTTACATCGTTTAAAATTGATATCAAAATTTGCAGGAAAGCGAGCTAATAAAAACAAGCCCATGGGGCGTAGCCTGAAAGGAAATATGAAAATTAAATGATATAATATTACAATGTCATCCATTTGTGAGCTATGTTTCAAATTTCAAGTCTCTAGCTCATCGGGAAGTATCAAAATTTGCAAGAAATCGATTTAATAAAAACAAGCCCATGGGGCGTAGCCCAAGAGAAATATGAAAATTAAATTGTATAATATTGCATTGTCTTCCATTTGTGAGATATGTTTCAAGTTTCAAGTCCCTAGCTCATCGGGAAGTTAGTATAAAATCGGTTGCAAAATTTGTAGCGGACAAGAAAGCGACCTAATAAAAACGTTTTAATAGATGATAGATCTTGTTTCAATTCTTTGACTTAACCCAGAACACAGCATGTGCAGGAATTTTCTTCCGGAGGGGTAATACAGCATCTTTTTGGAGGGAGAAGTCAATGTCAAAAGCTTTGAAATAATAAATTTTGCATGTATAAAAGAAGAAAGTATATACATTTGCCTGCTACAATCGGTTTAAAAACTTACATACCATAGTCAATTGTAAATTAATCTCGTGGGGGAATGACACTTACTTGCTCCTCCCCTGCAAGCACCCATGAACCAAATCAGTGATCTAATACATAATATCCTATATTCTAAAAAAAAAAAAAAAAAAAAAAAAAAAAAAAAAAAACACGTGTATGGGAAAACTTGTATTTTTGTCTGAGGATTTTTGATTTTTTTGTTGAATATAGGGTATTTAGACACGAGAAATCGATTGGAGTTGGTCACTATAGAAAATAACCACTATATATGTCAACCTCTTTTTGTTGTATTATTGATTGTATTATTCTGTAGAGTGGCAACACTGTAAAATAAGAATAACTTTGGGGTCATGCTTTTTTTTGTCAATCAAGAGCTATGTAACATCTTCACAATGTCTGTTAGAGGTCTACAAGATAAAAATGTAGTTTTATTAATAAAGTGATTATTGTAATAATCGTCAGTTTTATTTTGCAACCAAATGAATAGTCTTTCTTTACAGTCACAATGCTGGGGAAAACCCGGTTTCTGTCCTAAAGCCCTTGAAAGTGCCCATGTTATCGGCAACACCTTTTTGTTGCAGATGACAAAAACAGCTGTTACAGGTTATTTAATATTTTCACTGCCATAATTTGATTTGACTTGTAAACAAAAACAACTGCATTGGTTGGTTTGGAATAAAAGTTTTAAATAATAGTTGTATTTGTAGTTAGTTTATTAGGTACATATTAGTATTAATAAATGTATTTACTATTTAGATAATTTCAAGATTAAAAATGAAACGCGGAAGACCTCTGGAGCGAAAATATTTACAGAATCTGCAAGGGAGAGAAGCTACAATCGATCATCGAGAAACAACCCAACCAGATCCAACCAGCTCATACATTTCACCAGATGTCTCAATAACCTTGGCCAAGTCGCCCATGGAAGAATGAAAGTGGTGAAATAGTTTCAGATCTTATGGCCGAGCAATATGATGAACAACAGGCCAACTCCACAGAGTAGGAGTAATTTGCAGGAGTGCCAATCTTGAGCAGGAGAGTTGACGAAGCTGCTTTATGTTTGTTAGACTGCCGGCGCAGTGAAGTCTAAATTCCTCAAACCTATAAAGTCACCATATCGGTGGATTAGAGATATTTTATTGAATAAGCCTTATGCACCCACATTGCAAGTGGACAATATCCGGAAATTTGAAATACCGTGCTACCTATCCTTGCTACTCTTAATGCTGAAACTGTAAAGATAAACAACGATATTATTCAAATCAAATGCAATGAGAAGGTTTGCAAACGTTTCGATTCAATAACTAACTTATTTAATACATGTTTTATTGAATCCTATTCAAGCTTATTCTCCCAGTACATACAAAGCTTAAGAGTGATTTTCATTTGGAAAAAAAAATTCCATCATACATAAAATACAACACGTTATTGTATGGATAATTTGTTTGCCTCAAATAAAATTCTTAATACATTTAAACTTACCGAATTGTTCGTTTGGTTAGTCTCATTCTTCTCAGGAATATCTAGCGACCACTCCACAACTGGCTCTTCCCTATTACAGTATTGCTCAAAAACTGTTCCACAGATTTGATACGAGTTTAAATCAGGTTTCCTCTTTCCAATTTCAATAAATACTGGCTGCACATTATACATAATACATTAAAAACTATAAAAAATTAAATAAAAATTTAAATTTTAAAATAATTAAATAAATTTTATTAAGATAAGTCTGTATAAAAAAAAACTGTTATAGTAGGAAAAATCATCAATGTTCTTAGAAATGTATTGCTTAGATTGTTTTTCTTACATTAATAATAATTAATTACATTAACATTAAATACATCAAATAACTAATAAACGGTAATAAAACCTGCTAATAGAGTATTCATGTTTTTTTATACAGGGTGTTCAAAAAAGGTGGGGACATACCTAGTGATTTCTTGGGTCAAAATAAATAGAAAATCTCGACTAACATTTTATCCAAAATCGCTTCGTTAACCAGATATCCGCAATTTTGTATTTTTTACATAAGTAAACCTTTTAATTTTTATCGATCTTTATGAAACTTGGTATGTATGTTAGTAGAAAAGAGACTTTAAGAGAATGTCTATATAATTCAGTGTTTTATTTCAGCTACAAAAATGTTACAATGGGATAGAAAATACTTTAAACCAGACAACTGAAGTTATTGAAGCATTTTACAGCCCTATATTATTTTATAGAACCATTTCGGTCAACCCAGGTTTTGGTGGGTTCTACTGTATTTTAATAATCCAAAAAGCAAATCACACAGATTTTATATTTAAGAATCACAATAAATTTTCTGTTCGATAATTAAACTTATGGTGATTAATATGCTTCAACGTGAACAAATGTTTTTGCTGATTGGCGCTTCGACAACTGCTGTTTTAGTTTAACATCTGACGGTCAACAACAATGCAAAACTATTGACTCCTGCCGACTCTTAGTAAAAGAATTGAGTTTTATACAAAAATGCTAACAGCTCACCTGTGGATATATTTTCCCATGGTGAATAATGTTTGTGGTTGTATTTTATACCCTTGTGTGCAAGCATAGCCTCCTCTAGTACAAGGCCGCGGCGAGACAAAAGTGAGAGACCCAACATACTGAAACAGCTGTTGCAATAATTTATAAAGGATCGTATGCGCAATGTTTACGTTTACAAGTTTGTTATTCCTGTAATTACCATGGTACACTGTTAAAGCGTTGCCACACACCAACGCTGCAGGCTTGGACTACTGAAGGCTATGGTGCAAAGGCATTATTCGAAAAAGAAGTTATTCTTTATTTTCATTTAATATTGTCCTATAAAGTCAAATCAAATCAAATCAAATATGCTTTATTCATAAAGTACAGTGTTGTACATTGAATGGTGTCAACTAAATCTATCTTAAATTAATAATTTACAGATTTGCATATCTTGGATCATTATCTAAATCAAAAACCAAGAATCAGGAAATGAAAATAATCAAAACCGAATCAATTATGTACTAACGCTAAGAGGGGAGGTAGAAAAATACTCTTCCAGGGAATAGAATGCTTTCTCTACTAAATATAGTTTTAGTTTTCTCATAAAATTCTTCCTGCTTTGTTCATTTCTGATTTCATTAGGAAGATGCTTAAAAAATTTTAATCCTATATAGGATGGTTTTTTTTCATAGAATTTTAATTTATGTTTACTTGAAATAAGGAATTTTTTATGCCGAGTGTTGTATGGGTGATAATTTGTCTCAGAGGTGCTCAAGCAGTTTTTTACTAGAATAATTGTGTCGTAAATATATTGGCCATATACCGTTAAAATTTTCAGTTCTTTGAATTTGTTTTTGGTTGTTTCATTGTGTTCTAATTTCAAAATTATTCTTACGAGAGGTCGTCCAGTGGTCGAAACTCGACCAAAAATATGTAATGTACTCACTTAACTATTTTCACCCCACACTGTAAATAAAACATGTGATTGGAGTTTCCTCCATTTGTTTTGATTTTCTGTTTATATTTCGTTGTTATTTCGTAACCAGCATAGCAACGCATAAGATCCATGTTAATTTTTTACAACTTTTAAACTTATTTTTTGTGCTTATCTTTGAGCCTATTTAAATTTATAAAGGGATTCTGCACACCTACAGGAAAATAGCTTTCCAACGGTATGCGTAGATTTTCCCTACGATGCACACGAGCTGAGAAAAAAGGTTTTAAAGAAACATGCTTGCCTATTAATATATAGATAGATATAGATAGATTGCTATTTTTTGAAGTTTAAGTATCCTATCCAAATTTGCTATTGTAGTTGAACCATAAAGGCACAAACCATAGGATAAATGCGAATGGACATTAGCATAATATATGTTTTTTAATGTTTTATGGTTACAAAAATAAGACATTCTAGAGAGTGAATATAGTCCTGAACATAATTTTGAAAGGAGTTTATCAACATGTTCATCCCAGTTCAAATTTTGGTCCACAGTTAGACCTAGAAACTGTGTACTGTGTTTATGTTCAATTTCTTCTGCATTATACATGATATTTGGTTTAATTAACTTTTTATTTTGATTTGTTTTAAAAGTTAAAAAATTAGTTTTTTTAGGATTAAGCTTCAATTTATTTTGCTCTAGAAAGTTTCCAATGTTTGCCAATTCAACAAAACTTAAAATTTCAACTTGTTGCACTGACTCAGCCGATACTTTGAGATTTGTATCGTCTGCATGAAAACAAAGATTGTTCTGAGGTAAACATGAGAGTGCACCACCAGCATCATTTATATAACATAAAAACAACAGGGGGCCAAGGATTGACCCCTGGGGTACACCACATTTAACCCTTTCAGTTTCAGAAGAAAATGTTGTAATTCTGTTATCATGATTATGTGTGATTTCTACAAACTGACAACGATTATTTAGGTATGACTGAAACCATTTTATTGATTTTTTTGTAACCCCTAAAATGAGTAATTTATCTATCAGTTGGGTGTGGTTGGACACTATCAAATGCCTTAGTTAGATCCATGAAAATTCCAATTGTGAACTCCCCTTTATCAACCGATTCAATTATAGATTCTATGAATGACACTGCTGCTGTAATTACAGATTTTCCAGGCCTAAATCCATGCTGAGTATTGTTTAATAGTTTAAATTCTTCTAAATAATTTAATAACTGACAGTTAACAATTTTTTCATAAATTTTTGATATTACTGGTAGGAGAGAAATAGGACGGTAATTTGACACAGTTTCTAGGTCGTCTTTCTTATAAATTGGTATTATTTTAGATTTTTTTAATTGATTTGGAAAAATTCCTGATACAAAAGATGAATTTATTAAATGACTTAAAATATGGCTCAGGCATTTTTTGGCATGCTTTATAACTTTAATAGGGACATCATCGTGTCCAACAGAATGTTTGTTTTTTAAAGAGTTAATTACTTTCTCCACCTCCCCCGCATCAATAAATTTAAAATCAAAACCTCTTTTAATACATTGCTCATTTTCAATAAGACTTTGATTTTCAATCTTGCTCTCACATTGGTTGCCACTGACATCCTGATCAACATTAGTAAAATAATTGTTGAAAATGTTAGCAATAGTTCTAGGATCACTTAAGCTACAATTTCCCTCTTTCAAAGTAATATTTTTATTTTTTGTTCCCTTTCCTTTCCCAACTTCAGAATTTATAATCTGCCATACTGTTTTTTGTATATTGGCTGATTTTTGTATTTTATTTTCAAAATAATTTGTTTTAGCTCTGACTAATTTTGCCCTATATTTCAGTTTGTTTTGTTTCAACTCGTATTTCAAGGCAGGATTTTTGTTCCTACGAAGTTTTAAGGCCAATTGTAGTTGTTCTTTTTTTTCATTTTTCATGTCTTCTGAGATCCAATTTTTTTTGCGTTTCTTTTCAGTTACAGTAATTTTGGGAAATGAAATGTCAAAAAAGTGCTTAAATGTACTATAAAATTCATCATATTTTCTTTCAACAGGAGCCATGTAAACACTCTCCCAAATCTCAGTTTCCAAGAGATTTTTAAATAAATTCAAATTTTGAATATTGAAGTTACGAGTTGTACGTTTTATAGTTGATTGAACCTCTTTTGTATTATTTAGGTTTTTATTTTTTATAAGGAGCAATTGCCCATCATGATCTGATAGACAAGTTACAATTCCGTCAACAGTCACCTTGCAATCATGACAATTTTTAATTATAAAGTTATCAATTGCTGATTCAGATTCCTCAGTAACTCTGGTTGGGAAATTGACCAGATACCTCATTTTATGAACTTTTAGTGTTCTTTTTAGTAATTTATGATTAGGGTTATTTTTTAAAACATCAATGTTTATATCCCCTCCCAAAATTATGTTAACAAACTTTTTGGAAAAGTGGGAAATTAACATGCTCAATCTATCTAAAAATATTTCACAATCCGAGCTAGGTGACCTATACACTCCAATTGCCAAAATTTTAAATCCGTCAATTATATAGCTACAGGCACAAAATTCGAATTGCTTATCTTGAAGTAAACTACCAGACAACCAATTTGGAACATCCACCCGCTTCCACTTTAAACCCTTCAGGCCTATTCGTAATTTTATTGTAATTAATCTCGGGACACCCTGTATAAAAACATCTGCCTCTATTGTATTGTTGCTTATAATTTTGAGTTCTGAAAAATAAATCACCTGTTTAAATGGCTCTGATGAGGATCTGAGTATTTTTAAATTAAAAATAATAAATTCTGTGACCGTAGTTTAATTTTTACTTTCTCCCCCTATACCATAGTATATGGAGAAAGTATTGTTTTCGTCAAAATTTTCGAGTTTGAGTTTTGAGTGGATATATTCGTTTTGGGTCCCCCTGGACCCAAAAAAGTGGTTTTCGAAGTGATGTCTGTGTGTGTGTGTGTGTGTGTGTCTGTGTGTCTGTGTGTCTGTGTGTCTGTGTGTCTGGATGTGTACAGAGCTAGAGACTACACCTGTGGTCCGATTTCGATTAAATTTGGTATGTAGGTTCTAATCCATGGTATCTCCAGGCGTTTTTTTCATTTTTTTGAAATTTTGATTTTTAATGGGGATTTTCCCATAAAAACCCATAAAAAACCGGAAAAATCGGATTTTCTCAAACATGGCCCGAACGATTTTGATAAAAATTTAGTATGTTGTAGCCCTTTAAATTCTGAACAAAATGGTACAAATCCCATTTCTGTAAAAATTACGGTTCAAAAGTTATGGTAAATTATGTTATTTTCCCATAAAAATCCCATAAAATAACGAAAAAAAGGATTTTAGACAAAAAAATCCGTTTTTATTTAACATAGTTTGTTATGATCCTTACAATTTTGATAGTTCTTCTCATTTCTTAGAAATTTTTTTTTTTAATGGGTATTTTCCCATAAAACCCCATAAAATGACGGAAAAAAGAGATTTTCCCAAAAATGGCCTGAACGATTTCGATAAAAATTTAGTATGTCATAGTCCTTTATATTCTGAACAAAATGGTACAAATCCCATCTCTGTAAAAATTACGGTTCAAAAGTTATTGTAAATTATGTTATTTCCCCATAAAAACCCCATAAAATAACGGAAAATCATATTTTCCCAATATTGGCTCGAACGATTTTGATAAAAATTTAGTATGTTATAGCCCTTTAAATTCTGAAGAAAATCTTACAAATCCCATTTCCGTATATTTACTCTCACCGCTTACACATGATAAAGGTTTTTGACAAACTTATGGGAGAAAGTATGTGTCAGAATGCTGATACCGTTTATTATTTTATTTTTTGTCTTAGGACGCAGCCAGAGATTGTCTTTCACATTACTTCAGGCTATACTTAGGGGTTGTGGCATCAACACTTAGATAAACTCCATTGGTGATTTGGCAGAATTTAAACCTGGAACCTCAGACCGACCGAAGTCCCACACCCTACCACTAGACCAGCTTGCTCCCAAATATTGGTTAGTTAAGCCACATCACAAAATACCCACACAAGTAGGAAATTAAATTAGTAAGAAATTAATACTTTGTTATTAAGTTTAGAATGGAACCCAATAAATTTTAGTCAACTACTCTACACAGATACTCTACATGATTGTAACTCCACCTACCACATTGAGATCCACAACTCCTTGACAAACAGACTCAGTAAACAAAGATGTACACAACCTGACTAGTAAAGCCCTCAATACTGGGTCGGGAAGCTGGAGTTTGTAAGCTGTGATGAAGAAGTCAAATAAAGCTCTGCAAGTGATACACAAAGTCTCTCCTTCAAGCGGAATCGCTAGGCTCTCCAGATCTGCTTCCGTTGCAGAAGTCAGATTTTTGAAAGCCTGCATCACTGCATTCAACAGTTGCTCAACTGCAAAATTAACAAAAGATTGCATGTTTTGAATTGACTATGTTCTGCTAATTCTGATTTTTTCCAAGCACATTTAAAGTTTAACCCTCTGGACTCTCTACACTGATTACTCTAAACTAGATTGTACACATTTGCCAATTTACCGGCTTTTTACTTGCCGGTTTGCAGCTTGTTTACCATTTTTAATTTAAATTTTTTAAGAGGTTAGCGACCTCTTTTAAACTTGCATTTGCATGTCCACAAAGACTACGGATCTGTGTGTGAACGGTATTCAGCAAAGCAAGGGGTGAGCTGGTACAGTACAATGGTTAAGCATACTGATAAAAAGTAGAAGCCAAGTACCAGAATCCGAACTCACGACATCGCTGGCTTGGGCCAAAGTGCCAAGCAATACCGACTCACCATGCAATAGAGAAAACCTAATTTGAGTGAGTCGGTGGCTCAGTCGGTAGCGTCGCGGACTTCGGGCCCAAGGCAGCGATGTCGTGGGTTCGGATCTTGGTCACTGCCGATAACATTTTATCAGTACAGTTCACCTTTGTACTGTACCGGCTCACTCCTTGCTTTGCTGTAAACGATCCACGCACGGGCGCTTAGTCTATGTGGACGGGCAAATGCAAGGTTAAAAGAGGCCGCCAACCTATTTAAAAAAAAAAAAAAAAAAAAAAAAAAAAATACAAAATAATTATGCATTAATTACTTGACTCTTAAGTACTAAATCAAATACTAAAAAAATATTGTGAACTGTATGTTTATGTTTTAATATTTTGTGTCTCTATGATAAATCTCCAAGCGGTAGAGAGGACTTGCAAGTCCTAACTTCGCCTCTTAACTAAAGGCATTTTTCATTTTAATAAATGTCATAACATATTGGAATCTATTGGCCCATTTCAATTTTTCATAGACTTAAAATAGAATAAATAAACAGTATCAGCAATCTGACACATACTTTCTCCCATTAGCTTGTCAACAACCTTTATCATGGGAGAGTAACTATTATATTTCATGGGTTTTATGGAACAATAACATAAGTTACATTAACTTTTGAACCGTAATTTTTAAAGGAATGGGAGTTCTACCATTTTGTTCAGAATTTAAATGTCTACAACATACAAAAATTGTATAAAAATCGTTTGGGCAATTTTTGAGAAAACCTAATTTTTCCGTTATTTTATGGGTTCTGTAGCTTTGTACACATCAACACATACAGACACCCACACAAACACAGATAGACATCACTTCGAAATCCAATTTTTTCTGTTCATGGGGACCCAAAATGAATATATCAACTCAAAACTCGAATTGGAAAATGTTGACAAAAACAATACTTACATTACTCCATGTATATTTTGACAAAACAGTACTCCATATACTATGTATAGGGGAGAAAATAAAATGTGAAACTAAAATAAAAATTAAACTTTCGCCTCAATACTCACTAATATCATGACCATTAGGGTTGAGAGGTTCCTGCTGCGTAGAGGAGATGTAGCCAAACACAAGTATGGTTAAAAATAGCATCTTTCTTTGTTGGTTTGAAAGTCTATAAAACTCTCAAAATGGGATCAAACTAAGACACTGTTGTGGTTGACATCACCTAGTTCACCTATCACAAGACAGTTTTTATATTTATGTAGGGATTATCATAATAGGAAGGTGGGAGGTAATGTTGTAAAATAGCATGGCTAAAATCATCTAGAAAAATAAGAACATACTTAGAACCAGCATGAGAATTTATACTTCCTTTGCTAGAAAAGTAAGAACATACTTAGAACCCGCAAGAGAATTTATACTTCCATCGGTCCAACCAAGTCAGAGTGTACCATTAGCCTCTAGCCAGACTACTGTTTACAATTGTCAATGTAATAGCCATGTTAAGAGGTAGTATAATTTGGGGAAAAGGAGAACTTGCCCTTAAGGGTTATTAACTTGACGTTAAAAAGTGGGAATTAGTTCTGAATGAATCTTTTCTTTCTATCTGATCCTTACTATGTACTGCTACAAATTGTACACCGCACGAACAAATGTTTGAACATCCCAGGAGATCTCAAAATGGTGTTTCCACGCCACCTTAGTTGATGGCTCATGACGCAGATAAAGGAACATCTGGAGTAGGATTCTTTATCTGTGCTCATGAACGAGCGTGATTAAACGTCCTATCAGAAACTCTAAATATGAACCAATAGTGCAGGAGGTGACGCTGTGAAAAGGAAACTCTGATTACGCTCATTTATGATTGCCAGATTGGCGTCTACACGTAACTTAAGCTCCTTGTGAAAAAAAGTTGAGAGAACATATTTTGAGGACAAATCAACGTCAGAGAACTACACTATAGAACTAAGTAACAATGTAAACCAAGTAGATGCTGATCAAGATATCTCATTCCAATGCAGAAGTTTTAGTCTCTGTTAAGAAATAATTTGTTACATTTGGACTGGATAAACATATAAATGTAAAACTAGTGCACCTGTTGCTCAAAATGAAGCAATTTGTAAGTACTGGTATTACAGAAGTTATTTTAAAACTAATATACCAGTCATAATTGTTAATGGGTTTGAAAAAACTTAACTAAAATCGTATGTAACCAATGGAAATACTCATGCTGTTTATTATAATAAACATTTCTTGTGATTATTTATCATTTTTAACAAAAATGAATATTTTAATTTATAACAAAATGTTTCATCCCGGCTTGCCCTTAGCCGATTAAGGTTGTCCATGTGTATATTCCCCGTTGATAATGTAGTAGTCATGGTACCACCATTACCAAATGTATAATTACAAATTCTATTCGTTGTTCTATTCGTAGTTGTTAAAAAGTTCTATTTCGTTGTTCTGTTTGTTCATTGTTGTTGTGTGTCTATTTGGTCTATTTCAATAGAGATAACAAATGTTCACTTTACTCAAGTACTACCTGATGTCTTATCTGATGTAGTATCTATGTGTCACAGTTTTATTTGCTTCAATTGACATTCCTTCGGTTGGTTGCTATGATAATGTGTATTATATTTACCTCAAAAAATGTAGAAGGCATGATGTTGTTAGTTTTTTTGTTTCCCTTACCTGTGAATAATAAGGGTACTTCAATGAAACTGAAGATTTCTTGGGTTAAGACCTATTCTCCAAAAATCGCTTGACTTTAATGATATTTATGACACTAACACAGATTAAATAACCTTGACGTACCAGTTTTATTTATAGCTATAGGGTTTTTTTCATGTGCAATGATCACTAAGTAAGTGCATGTTTCCTACTAAAAATGGAAGCGCTTCGGCTAACCTTCAGGTTCACTGATTCTAGTAGGAATCAATAACTCTGTTCTTCAAATGAATGTTCTTCATTATATAGACTATTAGGATAATAAATTCTTTAAATATATTATCTCTATTTCTATTACTTGTTTGTGTTCTATGACTTTTCTATGTTTCAAAAATTTCTATAATTTGCAAATCGGTTCTTTTAACAGTTGTTCAAGAAATTACTACATCAATTTAGTTTTTGTATTTGGTGAATATACCAAATTGACCAGGCTTTCTCACCATATGTACACAAACACAAAATCGTTGAGCTGGCAATCGTTTAAAATCTTTAATCTAATAGTGAAATGTTTTAAGTGTCACGGTGGACCTTACTAAATTATAATAAGCGCAATAAAATATCTGTAGATTACATTATGGTCATACATTAATGGGCCCTAAATGCGAAGCCCTTTACATTTATTGAGCTCATTTTATGTGATGACAAGAAACTTCAAAGTGGGCTCTTTAAAATTTATACAAAAAACTTCTACATAAATAAAAAAATTGAGAAGCTATACAAAACAACCAAATCAAATTAACGAGGTATGTATATAGTAATAACATCATCCTCCTTTGATATTGAGGTTTTATCATAAACTGATATTTAATTATATACGGAAAGTAAATAAAGATACGTCTTATAACACTTAAAACATATTTACGCTTATACTGTTACTCACAAGACGGTAAATATACAAAAGATGGTAAGTGGTGATCGATTTCGATTGGACACTCCAATCATCATCGAGTAATACATGAGATAAGTTAATGATGATGCTTGATGACAAATATGTGCTTTATTTTAAGACCAAAATTATGAAAATCGGGTGGGTAGAAGAGCCCTCGGTACTTTCCTGTTAAAGGGAACATTCATTATTATCGATGATTTTTTTCTAGATATATCGATATTAACAAATTGAAACATATCAGCTGACAACTACGAAAAATATTGTTCAGTATCAACGAACATTAATGAAATGAAACTGTTCTAAAAAAAATAACCTAACATAACTAACCAAACTTGCTGTAACATTTAAAAATCATCAATTAATGAAACAAGGCTCCAAGTGACCAAAATTTGTATCAATTAATGGAACGTTAAGTCGAAACTGGAACAAGTGAGAGGGGAAATATTTTGATTCCTAGGATAAAAATGTGCCCATCGGAAACAAACTTACCATTTAAAACAGAAAGATGCCAATTTTCGTTAGCTTTGTCATTTGCAATGACAATCAATAAAGCACAAGAGCAATAATTTAAAAGAGCAGCACTTTTCTTACCCAGACCAGCTTTCAGCCATGGGAAACTATGTTGCTTAAGTAGGGCTACATATTTTGTTGGTGTATGCTTATTCATAACGGAAAATTCTGACCAAGGTAATCTTCCTGAAGGTGACGACTAAAAACGTAGTATTTATTCAAGGAAGTACTTTTGTGAATAAAATATATTTTTTAGTTTTTACAGTATTTTAAAAAGGAGTTTCTTCATGTAGAATTTTTATGTTCTTCAAATATGCTACCTACATATTGGTTTTATGAAATGTTTCATTAGGGTAGGCCTACATGTGTTTTAAACTAAATAATCCTTGATAACTTATTAATTTACTAAATATAAGACATATACAGCTATAAAATGGTTTGTCTGATTTCCTTCTAAGGCTTCGTTATTGCATTTTATTTTCGAATTTGAGTCAATGTATAACACGATGCATTTGTTTCCTAAATCCATATGTTATTTTGCGGCGCGTTGAGCCGCACGGGTTCACTAGTTCCCTTTAATTTCTTACACCTTAATCATCAAAATCGGTTCATAAATAAAAGAGTTTTGCTGTACACAAGAAATTCCTTAGGGAATTAGAATAATAGAAGGATAATAGAAGATAGAAGATTCTATAATAATGTTAATATATAGTTTTGCTATGTAATATTTAGACCAACTACCTTATGAGTTAACATACCTACCAGTAAAATACAAAAACTCAATACTAGATCTCACCCACAGAACATTTTACTAGAAATAATCACGAAATCACCTCAGATTCTTATACATTTTGTACAATTGTCACCACAGCTGCGATAAGAAAACTATAAATTTTATTCTTATCTGTGTGTTCTGGTTGGTATGATTTTATTGAGTTTTGTATAAAGAATTTTAAATTAACAGCTTGTTAAAATTTCTACGTAACCGATGACCGCACAAAAACAGTAGTAAATAATTTTTTTAATGGTTTAAAGAGAAACTAGAGGTCATCCAGTGGTCGAAACTCGACCATAAATATGTACAGTTGGATTTTTTAGCTAGAAGCGGTTGAGGTATAGTGGAATATCTTTGTGGATGAACCTTATTGGCTGTGGGCTGTAGTGGGTGCGATACATCGATGGTACGATCATGTGTTCAATGTTCACATGTCAATTTTTGAGGTCAAATCAATACAAACAAACTGGCATGTTGTCAATTAGGGACAATGTTGTATTACTTAAGAAATAAATATATTTCATTTAAGATAAAAAAAAAAAATTATTTAGCATGGATGTCATTGTCTGATTTATTAGAAATCATTCAGTATTTAAGCTACTACATTTTATAAACCAAACTTGAATCTTGATTCCTTGGCCTATTGTACAACGTTTTCCAAATCGTAAATCATCATCATGTCCCAAAAGTTTATCATGTGTATCCCCGTCACAGCAACTACATTATTCTATTAATATAATGATCAACATTAATTTTGCAAGAAGATTCAATATTTTAATATCCTGCTCATGTAATTTAATTATTTTCAAAGCAACCGTCACTTAATTTGAAGGCAATAATTAAATAACAATTTATTCATTAGTTGATTATTTGGAATTAGGAATCATGTCTCTATTTCACAGTAAATATTCTCTAATGATTAGCTAACGACAAAGTGATTTGATTAAAGTACTGTAGGTATGTCAAATTCCAAGAATATATTATGCCAGTTTGTTTGTCTTGATTTGACACGTATGAACAATGATCGTATTAAAAAGGTCCATCTTCAAAGATATTCCACCACAGCTTAACCACTTCTAGCTAAAAAAATCCAATTGCACTGTACATTTGACTATTAATACAACAACTTCTGTATCCAATAGTCAAATGACTGTACATACTTCTCTATTTTTCACCCCACACTGTAAATAAAACATTTTGATTGGAATTTGTTTTGATTTTCTGTTTATATTTCATCGTTATTTCGTCACCATCATGGCAACCCATAAAGCCCATGTTAATTTCAAATTAATTTTTTGTGCTTATCTTTGAGCCTATTTTAATTTTTAATGAGATTCTGCACACCTACAGGAAAATATCTTTCTAACAGTATGCGTAGATTTTCCCTACGACGCACAAGAGCTGAGAAAAAAGGTTTTAAAGAAACATGCTTGCCTATTATACTAGCTGTACCCGCGGGCTTTGCCCCGTTTAACTTCTTAATTTTCAAGATGAGCTCGTTCGCATGGCTCAATCACGTCCTGGTTGAAGTGCGTTCGCTACGCTCACTCACCTTTAGGTTGGAGCTCGTTCGCTGCGCTCACTTGCCTTCAGGTTAGCTCGTTCGCTACGCTAACTCGCCTCCAGGTTGAAGTTCGTTCGCTACGCTCACTCACCTTTTGGTTGCAAATTAGCTGTTGTCATAAATTAAAAAAAATAATAATAGTGCTGCACCCTGTTGGCAATCCTTGTAACTTTAAAGCTATTGAACATCATGGAACAGAACCAACTTGTTTAATTGAAACAGCTGATAAGATTCATTACTTCCTTTTAAATATGAAAAATCATAAGGTTAACATGGGAAACTCCAGAGCCACTGGGGCGGAGCCCGAGAGTCCGATCAGAACAAAAACAACTTAGTTTTCCTATTTAATGCCTAAAGAATTGGTGTACCAAATTTCAGCCTCCTAGGTAAATGGGAAGTGGGAGAATTAGTGATGAGTGAGTGAGTGAGTGAGTGAGTGTGTCAGTGAGGGCTTTGCCTTTTATATATTTAGATAGATATAAGATAGATAGATTGGGAAATTTTGTGTTTTGAGGCCAAAAAAAAATCTGAAAACCAATTTTTACCCCATAAAACCTATAAAAAGTCCCATTCCCATTGTCCGATCATGCTGGTTTGCGAACCCATTAAAGTTTATCCCGCCTTTTATCTTCAAGCCAAACTTTATTTAAATCGGACAAACATTTGTGCCTATTTTGAATTCAAATATTCAAAATCCGCGCCAAGGCAGCGGACAACACTGTGCAATCACAACGAAACGCGGAATGATACAAGGGCAAAGGCCAAAAGTTTGGAAGCGACACTTGGACACACTGTTCAGCAGCACTTGGAGCACAGACATCAATCATGTAGGTCGTGTCGCTGGTATTTCGGACCATTTCATCAATATGTATCTTATTCGTAGCTTGGAAAATTGCGTTCGGGTGAAATTTGTACGTGCGTCCAAATGACAGCAAATGTCAATAATTCACTGAATTGCTAATTGGGAAGTGTTGTACTGTAGTTATAAGTCAAATTAATTTGAAATTACTGGATTTATATTGCGTTTGTGAGGGAAAATTGTACATGCATCCAACTGATCGCAATGTCTATCTCTCATTGGATTGTTAATTATCATGACGGTTTTTCAATTGGTTCAAAATCACACCAGCTCGAAAAATTAAGAATTGATCAGTCCAATATCGTGATGAACCGTTGTCGAGAAAATTTCGCTTGGTTGACACCGCTCTAAGTCAGTTTTTAAATATCATTTAATTTCAAACAATCTTTATTCTTTTAGTACATAATCACAGTACATTGAACAGTGTCGAAAATTGATTCTTTATTATAACTTAAAACTGTTTTCTAACTCATTTCTACCATAAAGGTTATTTATACTATTACAATAGAGATTCTCAACAAAACAAATAACAATCATAAATAAATTAAGAAAGCAGTAAAATAATCTAAACATCCAAAAGCCCTTCAAGTCCCAGAAGGCTTGATGTCGTCCGTGAGTGAATCTTTCGTCAGTGTGTAAGTTTGTGTGGTCGACTTGTATACGTAAGTAAATGTTTTGTATTGCCTGTGTTTTAGATATAATTTAGTATTGCCGATCTGCCATATTTCACATTTTTTGTACATGCATACTTTGCAAATCCTTTTCTAGTTGGTCCGTCTGTTTCACATTTTTCATGTCCTAGTTGGTCTGTAGCGGTTTTATGTCACATGTTCTCAGATCCAAAAATGTATATTATTTATTAAATTTGTCATATTGTTACAGGTTAAGTTTGATGTAAAAATTATTAAAAGTTTAAACAACATATTAAATTGAATTATGAAGTCAATTAAATTAAAATCAACATTTATCTGTGTTAAAAGATAAAATTTTTTGCGAATTTCCCATATAGGGAATAAGCTATTACCGCAGGTCTCATGGTAAGACCTGGACCCGGGACTGAATAACCTTTTCGTTTTGAGGTCCCCAGAGGCCAAAAACACCATCCGTTCAAATTCATATATATATCCTAGGTAAAAACCACCTAGGGGGGCCACTGGGTTTTTTGAGCCCTTTCTCAAATTTAGGTGCTTAGAACTTTGTTGGAAAACTTCTTTGTCGACTTGTTTCTGGAGGGTTGTTGCTTCACTAGCGGTTAAACAAACTCCTGCAGTTGATGAATCCACGTGTCTATCCGTAGAGGTTCCTGGAAGTGACGAAGTTGTACTCAAGCTTTTGCTGTCATCCGATGTTGAAGGTCGTGAAGAGCTAACAGATGTGGCAAGTAGAGTATGGGGCTGATCAGCTGTGCGAGTCCCATGCTTTTCTTAAAATTAAGAACTCTTAAAAGTTACACTCGCTTAGCTGTTGTCGAAAGGTTGAAAGAGACATAAGACTGCTAAGGTGTTACTCAACTTGTAATAAAACAAAATAAATTTAGAAAAACAAAAGGTTACAAAGTGTGAAAACACCAAATAAGGACTTTGAAAAAAGAAAGAGGAACTGTGTAGTTAAATAGTGTGTACACCGTCACTACATGGCGCTCCCATCTGTGTGTGCCAGAACCTATGGTAACCACAGCACAGCTGACTGTCTTTATTTAATTCTTTTGTCTTTTACATTTATGACAACAGCTAATTTGCAACCAAAAGGTGAGTGAGCGTAGCGAATGAACTTCAACCTGGAGGCGAGTTAGCGTAGCGAACGAGCTAACCTGAAGGCAAGTGAGCGCAGCGAACGAGCTCCAACCTAAAGGTGAGTGAGCGTAGCGAACGCACTTCAACCAGGACGTGATTGAGCCATGCGAACGAGATAATCTTGAAAATTAAGAAGTTAAACGGGGCAAAGCCCGCGGGTTACAGCTAGTATTAAATAATAAACAAATAAATTAGTTTTTCTTTATTTTCCCGGGACAGTGCATATTAATCACTTCAACTTCCCCAGGGCATGATGGTCTGGTACAAGTAGTACAGTTATAAACTTCAAAAGGAATCTTTCCAGACCTATTTATTACTTAAGTCTCACCCCTCCCAATCAATGATTAATAATGAAAGAAGGTAAACTGTTAACTATTAGTTTATTGTAAATATTTTCATTTCTACAATTCTTCTTTTCCTCAATAGTTGATTAGTCTGCTAGGTGATTAGTGGTTCACAGGCAGAGGTATGTTCTGTATTCTTAAGTATTATTTTAATTTGTTATAGAATTTCTTTCTTTGTCTATGAAAATACAGATGACATTGATTTTGTTACTTATTTAAATGTTTGAAACACCATGTGGCCACAATAAGAGTCCACATTTTGAGTGTTGAAGTCATATTTTTTGTCCAAACGCTTTTTTCAAATTAAATACCTAGTTGTAGTTATGTAGTTCATGAGCATGAAATTGAATAAGGTGTACCATAAGACAGTGTTCTTGGTCTTATTTTGTATATTTTTATGACCTTCCGAGTACTCAGGGTATTACAGTCCCGATATTTGCAGACGACATTGTTTTTTTTATCATCAAATCAGGATCCTATTCTGGCATCATCAAACCTTCAGGCTGCAGAAGACGATTTGTCTCAGTGGCTACAAAATTGGAAAATTAAAGTAAATGAAACAAAATCCGTTCAAGTTACATTTACTATGTCAACAAGAACTTGCCCCCCAGTAACTTTGAGTACCGGTAATGTCATGCTTCCAAAATCCAACAAAGTTAAGTACCTTGGTATGCATCTCGACAGACGGCTTACGTGGCATTCACACATTTGGAACAAACAACTTCATTTAAGTTTGGAAACGAACAAACTAGATTGGCTTATTGGTCGAAATTGAAAATTATCTGTTGAAAACAAATTACTTTTTTACAAAATTATATTGAAACCTATTTGGACCTACGGTATCCAACTCTGGGGAACCACTTCAAACTCAAAAACATAGAAATGGTTCAAAGATTTTAATCCAAAACACTGAGAAAAATTTTAGAAGCACCTTGGTTTGTCACAAATAAAGTTATTCACCAAGATACAAAATTACCTTATATTAGAGATGAAATAAAAAAACAAAGCGAAAATATCAAAGAAAATTAGAAAGCCATCCAAAAGTTCATGGCAGTTAACCTCCTCGATAATAGTGAAGCTACATAGGTTCAAAAGAGTTAATCCAATAGTCCTTCCAAATTGTTTCTAGTTAAATTTTGTATACGTTTTTGTATGTTAGTGCACTTGATGGAGTGTAACTAGCCCATGTTAAATTGTCATGAAATTTACTTATTATTCTAGTATAGAATATATTATAAATACTTGTAAAAAAGAATTTTCAAAGAATGTCAAAGAACACAAGAAATACAGTAATATGCAGTACAAAAGGAAAGAGTACAATGTACTTGTAAGGCTAACAGATAGGCCTATAACAGAATAAAGCATCACACAAAATAACAATTAGCAACAAATCAATATAAATTAAAAATTAATAAATTACAACTTATCACCAAAGAATTACTGGATCAAAGCTCATAAATACTAAGTTACAATTTATATTCAAAAATTCATCAAGAGAATAAAGCGTTTTATTCTCTATCATAAAACAGCTTGACAGTTTTGATTTAAATGGTTGGATTTCGAGGTTTCTGATCTCTGGAGGCAATGTATTGAAACACTTAATTTGCAGATATTTGTGGCTATGACTATTGTTTTCCGCAATCTAGAAGAGAGTGGGACAATATCTTGTGCTTTTCTAGTGTTATAATTATGAACTTTTTCAAAACATATTAAATCAATGTGGTTTTCCTTTACATATACAAGATTTTGAAATATAAATATAAAAATGCCGCTGAGGGCCTCGTTGATTCTAAATACGGCCCTGGTCTCTACAGTAATTTAACGACCATACTAGAATGTGTAATGCCACATAGCAGCTAGCAGCACGCTTATGATAATTTGGCCTTGCATTAGACTATTTGGATTTACACTGGAAGTTTAAGAGGATATAGAGAGTGAGAGAGACCTTTACCAATCAACCTTAATTAATTAGTGTTTATAATATGCAGGAGTTTATCTCTAATTATTTGTTTGAAGAAAGTTTAATTTTCATGCAAGGGGCTGTTGTTTGTTCAGATATTATTTCCAGAGCTATGCAGGGTGGAAAAGAAGTCCCGGGATGGTTAAATATTTCCAAAAAAATCAAGGTATAGTTCCAAAACTTGGTAAACAGTTCCTGGGCTTTAAGACATTTTTACACATTACACATTATTCAGTGATGCGCTATGTCCTCAAGCGGCGACCTGCTAGGAGTCAGAAGAAAATCTTAATTGTAAGCATAGGTTGATATGCACATCAATTTAAAGGCCTTTACTATTAGATTACAATGCCCCAAATTTGAACTCAAACGGTCAACCGAGTCAAAAATGGCAGCCGTTTCTAGAATCTGCCATTTTGAATCTTTGACCGGCTACCATTTTTTACTCAATACTTTCTCAGAGCTCAAATTTGTGACATTGAATTCTACTAATAAAGACATCGACCTATGCATACGTTTATGATTGTCTTCCGACTTCCCCTGAGAAGGTATGCGTGAGTAAACTAAAAAATGTGTCAGGTAAATTATTTTCTGAAAAACTTTCTCACAAAACATTTTATAGAAATAAGTTATCGACTAATTAGAACACATGAAGCAGCTCTTCATATATACTAGTTTATTGCTGAGTTGTTATACACGTACAGTATTATTTTTATCCTAGTTGCTGAGTATGCTTTCACATTCAGTTTCGTTGGCTGTAGAGACAATCAAGCATAGTTGTTGCTGACGGCAACTACCGGTGCAATCTTGTTCATATGCAACATCACTGTTTTTATAAAAATACCTGAAACAATGCAAGTTCATAAAAATTCAAACAGTTCTAAAAATAAATAAATTTTAACACTAATTTTATGGACAAATCAAGTTCAGATTTGTGCTTTTCTAACAGGGCTGACAGATTCACATTAATCTGCACCTGACAATACAATAGTTATTTGTGTAACTAGTGAGCAAAATAATACTTTTTTAAATAATGGGAGTGCATCAATTTTATCGAGTTAAAAAAAATAAACTTAACGATCCAGTACGGCCTGCAGAGTATTCTGCTTTAAACTCCTAGAACTACCCTGAGATCTTTATAGTGAATTACGTTCAGTCGGTTTGTGTGCATCGTACATAATTGAAATGCAAATTAGCTCACCCTCACATCCACATTGTATTAAAGATAGCAGTGATAGGGCGGTTCAGGCCTTCGACGATGACTGCGTACGTCTAAGAAGTAACATCGTCGTTTATACCTTCGCTTACACGTCAATCATTGTTAATTCGTTTACCGAAGGTTAGCTATACTAGTTAATCACATTACCACAATTTAAGCTTAATTTTTGTTTAACACTTGCATTCTCATTTCCAAATTCGATTTTAAATATCTAAATTTTAATAACGTAATTAATTTTCATCGACTTGAGCCTAGACCCCCCAGTTCCTGTCTGCCAGTGACTAGTGGCGGCTACCGTTTAGTTTTATTTTAATCAATTAGTTTCAAAATTATGATGTTGCTGTTTGCCTAATGAATAATTATTACATACTTATTTGATCAATCCACCGTTTTGATACCCCGAGACTTGTCGTCTGAGTTCTAAACCCCATCTTTGGCGGGTGAAAGAATCAAGTCTTGGGAGTGCTCTGATTTGAACAATTAATTACAAAGGATACTAGTATTAAATTAATTTTAAACCGTATCAGGCTAAATTCTTAGTTTAAACATATATTACTTAGGCCCCAACGACTCTGTAGAGATTTTACACTATATTTTGTTCATTCATTCGCCGAACTTTCATTTATTTTACCAGAGCCTTTAGTTAATTAGTTCAAGGAAGTTCAACACAAGTATTTTTATCACATTGGCCAGACAGAATATTCGTTTGCCCTACGGAATGGAGCAAAAGTTAGGCAAAATTCCCCAAAACACTTTAACGAAGGTGAGGATGATATAGCTCCAACTGAGCGTCTGCAGGATTTCCAGAGCCCTTAGAGCTCTGAGCCTTTGATTAAATCTAATAAATTGATCAGTCAAAACCGTGATGACTTCATATCAACCCCTGCATTTTTCTTGGCTCCTTCTGAGCACTCCGGGGAATAAATTTGAGTGTGGCTGGATCTAGGGGTATGCCTAGCCTGACTTTGTGAATACTAGTTTATCCCCCCCCTAGAATTCTACAAATACATAAAACCTAGGCTCTTTTTGAGCTCCTATGTTAGATGTTTAACTTAAATATAATAGTCGAATACTCACAAATTGTATTTACGGAAGTATCTATCATCAACTGCCAATTTGGTTACTAAATCATCCAGATCTTTATATGATAGTGATGGTAGGTCGTATGCATCTTTGAAGGAATACAATTTAAACCAGTCTGGAGATTTTCCTTGGTTGAGATTAGCCTCTGTTAAGTTGTAGATGTATGTGTCAATATCTTCCACCATCTGCGAAAAAAGCAATTGAATGTCAAATATTTGTAACTTTGTTACATATGTTTCAAAACAGTCAAACTACCATCGTAAATTGTTCATAGGATCATAAAGGGGGAATAGAATATATATTTATACATACTTACTCTAATAAAATCACTTGGTCATTAGAGAAACTGTGAAATATAGAGATGTTATTCCTAATTCCAAATCAACTAATGAATTATTTGTTATTTAATTATTGTCTTCAAATTAAGTGATGGTTGCTTTAAAAATAATTAATTTAACATGAGCAAATATTAAAACATTGAATCTTCTTGCAAAATTAATTTCGATCATTAATAGAATAATGCAGTTGCTGTGACTGGGATACACATAATAAACAACTGTTGGGGCATAATGATGATTAACGTTTAGTTTGGAAATATCTTAAGATCCAGACCCACCTTTTAAAGGTTTCAAGTTAGAGGTCAGAATATCTAGTTGTTCTCTCACGGGTAGAACAACTAGAATTTATTAAACTTTGATATTACTGAAGTAATCTTTTTTAGCTGTGACATACCAATATAAATTATTTAAGATGGGGACGCCACTGTGTGTGTGTTTTAACCGAAATATGAGTGAAGGATGAGTGGTGCGATAACAATTGTAGTGAAAATATAATGTGCAAATTGTGTGCAAGTGTCTTTTTTAACTATCGTTGTCAACACTCACGTAGTTTTGATGGTTAACGTAGTAGACCTTGTAGTTTGGGTTTACATCTGTATATGTGGTAACACTCCCTCCATTCCAAGCTACTGAATAAGGATCTGATTCCGTGTTTTGACCATAATACAAATAAAACTGATCTCTGTGAGTGTGGCCCACAAACTGGGCAGCCACTGTGTCCTGAAACCTGAACACATTATAAGTTTTGAATTTATAATCCTCAGATTTTCATATGAATTGGAGTAGTGCCAGTTTAAAACACCTCAGTAAAAAAAAACTGTGTTAGTAAATTCAGGGTAGGAGACAAAATTAAATATAATATCGTGGTAAGATGTGTGTTCCCGTTTGGCTTGCCAAAAAATGTGACGGAAAATTCTGTGATGGGAACAATCCAAATTATAATATCCTAGATTTTGTAAATGCAAGATAGTAGGCCCTAATATCTCGCCCAAAATTAGTTACACCTTATAATTTTTCCAGATAGCCTAGCCTAAAATGACGTCCCTCCATATGACGTCACTATGTCCAGTGTTCGTTGTGGCCTTTTCTTGAAATAAATCAACATATTTGGGATGATCGTAAAATATTACCCCACGTTTTGACCCGTTACAAAACACATTAAACAAATTGTAGTGGATCCGTTGATAATTTTAAATCAGAACATGTACATACATGCAAATACGCTTAAAAGGCATGGACTTTGATATGCTTACTCAGATAAAAATTAGTAGGGAGGATTACGAGAGTGACATAAGGAAGGGAGTAGACGAGGAAATGACGCAAGACAGGCAGAGTTGGGGGCAAATTTGAAGGATATTCAGAATCAATGGGTTACAACAGGGGCAATTTCCCGAATAGGCACAGTAGGCACAAGCCTAGGGCGCGAGGCAATTGGCTCTTTTGGGGAGTACCAAAAAAATAATTGGTCATCGTCTACCGCAAATGAAGAAAAATTCTTATCTTTTCCTGCGGTTGTGAGGACATTATAATGGTCTGGCGCGATCGCACTAAAATTCTGACCATCACTCGTGGCCGTAAAGACATCATTATATCTTCTCCGGCGGTTCTGTAGACATCTTAATCGGCTACTGCAATAAAAAACAAATGGTTATCAAATCCCGCAATTAAGTAGAGATCATCATAGTCTTCCGCGTTCGCAAAAAATTCTGACTGTTTCCCGAGGTCGTGTGGACGTTATCATTGTCTTCTGAGATCGCGGCAATATTCTGATCATCCCTCGTGGCTCTGTAGATCTAATCATTGTCTTGCGTGATTGCGGCAAAACCATGATCATATCCCGCGGTCATTTAGACATTATCAACGTCTTCTGCGATCTGGCAAAATTCTGATCAACCCTGTAAATTAAACTGAAAATTCCAGGTAGAAATGCAAAATTCACCTATAAATTTAGTTCAAACAGATTTCCCGCCCAGTGGACACCCTGTTATATATACAGTAGAGAGTCGAAAATCTGAACATCAAAAATCAAAAACGTCAAAAATCCGAACCGCTCCTGAGGGTTTAAAAAAAATTGAATTAGCACAGAGAAAACAGATGTTTAACAATTATGCGGGCCAAACAGTCGGTGTCTGGCAGGGAAATGAGTGAACGCGCCGAGCCAGTCTGTTTTTTGTTCGTTTCCAATGTATAAGCTCTACATATAAAAAAAAAAACGAATTACAGTCATACAACGAAAAAAACTTAAGTACATTATTTCATCATTAATTCATTATTCATCATTTTAATCATTATTTTTATTTCATTCACTGTATACTAGAACTGTATTTTTAATACTCTATGCCTAATTATGTGTCTATTAGGCATTTGAAAATCCGAACAAATCGGAAATCTGAACTACTGGTCCCAATTGGTTCGGATTTTTGACTCTCTACTGTATTGCAAAAATATATTGGAGCAGGGACATATTTCCGAATAGGCGGACTAGGCGCCTGCCTAGGGGGCAGCAAATTTTGGGGGTTAAAAAATAAAAAAGGGAGGTTTTTTATCTAAAAAAATAAACGTTTAGCAAATTATTCTGGGAACGGCAAAACTTCATTGCCTAGTGGCGGCAGATACTTAAATACGTCCTTGTATTGGGGTGCTACTATTAGTTGTGCCTAGGGTGCTGACAGGGCAAGGCCGGAGCCAGGCGGGCTTTGAGGGTCAAAACCATCCTAAAATCTCAAAATAAAGTAGTAAAAATTAAAACAATCCAAAAGTGCAAGATAAATTATAAAATTGAAACCACAACAGAGGATCCAACAACATAACATCATTGTGCATTGCATGCATATTAATATTTTAGATTTGTTTGCTTTAACTACAACGTATATACACAAGTATAAACATCACATGAATGCACTAGGTTACAGCTTTACTCCCTTGTCTTTGCTGTGACTGTACTGTGTGGTGCGATCCAAATATAGTCTGTGACTCATCGACTACCTGCTAGGGGCGCTAGGAACAGGGTAAAGGTCATTCACATTCCACCAACACACGCTGACACTGTGTAGGCCAAGGCCACAAGGAGACAACACCAAATGCGAACGTGTCTCGTCTCAGTGACTGAGTGAATTAGTGTTGTGTTGTGTTGGTGATCATGATCTTTGAAAGCGCTTAAATTTCTAATCCACAGTCATGAACTGACCCCCCCCCTGAAAGTTTGCCCTGGCTATGGCCTTGTGGCCGGGTCAAAAAACGGGCCTGGGACTCAGCATCATCACACAGTATAGTGTAGTGTATATCCTACCTCTCCATCACTCTGTGGTACTCTCTGCTCCATACATGTAGAGTGTCGGGCTCACTGGTTGGTCCATGCATCAGTATGTGAACCTTCTCCTTTTTACGCTCGGCCTCCAAAAGTTCTTCTACGAGCCATGCCAGCTGATCTGCAGGGTCTACTGGGTCTAGGATCATCCACCTGACAAGATTGAGTGCTAAAAGTGGGGAGTTATTGGTACAAAATTTAGTGAGTGCAGGGAGTATAGATAATCAGCTGGGCTTTGCCAGGCGTAGTAACACACAAGTTAGTTCCATCACAATACAACCCCATAATCATCAACTAAATCTGTTTGGATATTTAATTTACCTATATGAGCATCGTTTCATAAAACAAATTTGAATCTCTTCATCATGAGAGTGGAAAATCCAAAATGTGTATCCAAAGGCAAATCATTTACTAACTTCAAGTACAATAAACTTAATATGATTATTATTATTTCAAAATTTTACGAATTAAAAAAGTGCTTCAGTTACCAATTAAAACCGTATCCAAATAAGGTGTTGAGCCCAATAACACGAAAACCTTCTTCTGGAGACACTGAGTAGAATCCTCCTTTCATAAATGTAGTTTTGGCCTCCGGAGGTAAATCTTTGCACAGAGAATCGTAGAAAACTTCGTACAACCACTGGCCATTATACTCAGGGACATTTATTTTCAGAGGTGCCAACCTGGAAATGATGTTTGGTCATTGTTATAAATAGAGATCTATATATTATAGAATAAAGTTGAAGAATGAAGAACACTTGGTGGAACTGTTTCCAGCATACAATGATTATATAATATATAACCAATTAACCAATGTAAAGCTTTCCAGGGAGCATTAACCATAAACATAGTTTTACAAAAGTTGTTTACTTCAATACATACACATTGGCTGGATGTGGCTCATGATTTCCCAACACAGGAAAAATCTTTGTTCCATCAAACTTTTCGTGAAACAGTATTCCTTGATCTTGTATTTGTTTTGAGTTGCTCTCTTGTGTAGTTTCCCAAAGATTGTGAGCTATAAGATCTCCAGTCATATACAGATACTTGTATTTCTAAAACAATGGATTTGAAATTGTTCAACAAAATACCATATGAGGGTTGCCTGTAAATAAAGACCTCCACCAAGCTCCCATTTTAATCAAGCAAGTTTTCTGAAATCTGAAGGAAGGAGGTCAGTTAAGTCAAACTTAATTAGCCCCTCAGCTACCTGTAAATAAATCTAAAGGGGTTTTGGCAAACTGGGAGGAAGGAGGTGGGGCAAGGTACACCTACATAGCCCCTCAGACACCTGCCAAAGAATATGAAGGGATTTGGTAATCTGGAAGGAAGGTGGTGAGGCAAGGCACACCAACACAGCCCCTCAGCCACCTGTAAATAAATCTAAAGGGGTTTTGGCAAACTGGAAGGAAGGAGGTGGGGCAAGGTACACCTACACAGCCCCTCAGACACCTGCCAAAGAATATGAAGGTTTTTGGTAATCTGGAAGGAAGGTGGTGAGGCAAGGCACACCAACACAGCCCCTCAGCCACCTGTAAATAAATCTAAAGGGGTTTTGGTAAACTGGAAGGAAGGAGGTGGGGCAAGGTACACCTACACAGCCCCTCAGACACCTGCCAAAGAATATGAAGGTTTTTGGTAATCTGGAAGGAAGGTGGTGAGGCAAGGCACACCAACACAGCCCCTCAGCCACCTGTAAATAAATCTAAAGGGGTTTTGGCAAACTGGAAGGAAGGAGGTGGGGCAAGGTACACCTACACAGCCCCTCAGACACCTGCCAAAGAATATGAAGGTTTTTGGTAATCTGGAAGGAAGGTGGTGAGGCAAGGCACACCAACACAGCCCCTCAGCCACCTGCAAATAAATCTAAAGGGGTTTTGGTAAACTGGAAGGAAGGAGGTGGGGCAAGGTACACCTACACAGCCCCTCAGACACCTGCCAAAGAATATGAAGGGATTTGGTAATCTGGAAGGAAGGTGGTGGGGCAAGGCACACCAACACAGCCCCTCAGCCACCTGTAAATAAATCTAAAGGGGTTTTGGTAAACTGGAAGGAAGGTGGTGAGGCAAGGCACACCTACACAGCCCCTCAGCCACCTGTAAATAAATCTAAAGGGGTTTTGGCAAACTGGGAGGAAGGAGGTGGGGCAAGGTACACCTACACAGCCCCTAAGACACCTGCCAAAGAATATGAAGGGTTTTGGTAAACTGGAAGGAAGGAGGTGGGGCAAGGCACACGTACATAGCTCCTCAGACACCTACCAATAAATATGATGGGTTTTGGCAAACTGGAAGGAAGGAGGTGAGGCAAGGCACACCTACACAGCCCCTCAGACACCTGTCAATGAATTTGGAGGGGTGAGGTAAACTGCAAGAAAGGAGGTGAGGTGAGGCACACGAACAATGCTTTCAGTTACTTGCCATTTTTTTCTCTTAATGTTCTTAGCCAAGTTCACTGGTTGAAACCGTTCTTAATAAAATAATGACTGGATTTAGATTTAAAACCTTTTAAAAAATGGCAGGTTTTGGATTGACCTTTAATCAAATAATGAAAACATTAACCTTGTTGTTTGCAGCCGCTTCAGTCAAAGTATCTTCTGCAGAACTCATTGGAATATCACAGCCAGGGTAACTGCCCCAAGTACCTGCAGCCTTGTCTCCCGCCTCCGGTTCACCTTGGTAATTCCTGCAGCAGATAGGCTCTCTGCAGCCTGTGCTCTTCGCCTCTGCTGCATACTTTAAGTCGACATGGGTATCAGTCACATGAACTATCTCTATTGTATCCTGGGCTTGATTGGCGTCTCGATATCGTCTTGACGTCTGGAGTTGAAAACATCAAACAGATTAACATCCTATAGAGCTGTTGAGATACACTTTTTTGATGTAGGCACAAAATGTATAGGTTCGAACACTAGATAGGTACACTACCTATCTCAGGTACATTTGGATATCTAGAGGCTGAATCCTTGTCCAAGCAAAAAAAAGTTTGAACCATCAGGAGCAAGTATGTGAATAAATTAATAGATTTTAACAGTTTGTGCTTTTATTAGTGACCACCTGTTGCTTTAGTAGGACCTAATAGCCCAATCAAATTACGGATAGGGATGGGTCTAGTTTTAAATCTTCGACTTAACTCAGAGCGAGAGCACCTGCGCCTGCAGGAATTTTCTTCAGGAAAAGCAATCCATTTACATTTTTCCAGAGGTTGTGAAAAAATCCCTCTCTACAAATAAGTTAATTTAAAATGTTTAAAAAAAGGAATATTGCATGTCTTAAAGCAGAAAGTTAAATAAACATTGTCTTTTACCTGCTACGATTTGTTTAAAACCTTACGGAGCATAGAAATTGTTAATTAGTCTAGTTTTTCTCATTGGATAATGACCCCTACTAGCGCCCATGGCTCATAATCAAATCAAATCGTTGACCTTTAAAATGGAAAACTAGCATTGCAGCATAATTAAAGCTAAAGGGGATTTCATTTTTTTAAATGCCATCATCACATGAGTCAAGACCCTGATCCATTATTCTATAAGTAGTTGTTTGCTTCAAATAAAATTCTGAATACATTTAAACTTACTGAATTGTTCGGTTGGGTAGTCCGTTCATTCTTTCCAGGGATATTAAGCGACCACTCCACAACTGGGCTTTCCACACAGTATTGCTCAAAAATTGTTCCACAGATTTGATATGAGTTCAAATCAGGCTTCCTCTTTTGTATTTCAATAAATACTGGCTGTACATACATGGTACATCAAAAACTATATTTAACTAAACATAACAAAGTTGTAGGTACAGACCAGGCAAAATGAGGCGCACCCAGACAGCTTAGCCTTATTTTGCATTTAGCTTTTAAAACTACAAAGCGTGATTTTTTCAGCATATTATTAAATCTTTTTCAACTTGATGCCATTTGATAGGAAATGTTAAATGCTAAATAAAAGAATTTATGCATTTTTTTATCATCAAATTTTTAGTAATTTAAATTACGGAAAGTAAAATACCCCCGCCGCAGCAAACCTGCAGACTAAGCGAATTTCCATTAACCTGATTGGATTTACACTAAAATGCCTCTATAAAAATAGCACATTTATTTCCTAAATGTGAAAGACACCTAGGTTAACGTCTTTCTGTATTTATGGCGTTTTTAATAAATTAACTTCAAGAAAACTGTAAGCTTAACTAAATAATTAATACCCCGCCGCAGCAAATCTGCAGACTAAGCGAATTTCCATTTGCCTGATTAAACCTAAAATGCCTCCTTAAAAATATCACATTTATTCTCTATTTAAATAGAATAAGTTTAACGAGTACTTAGGTTTGCTGCAACAGGGAGGATAAAAAAGATTTTTTTATAAATTGATAATAGTTTAGTAAGAAATAAAAGTATTTTCCAAAATCGATCAAAATATGTTCATAAACAAGCAAACTACAACAGTTGACTTATTCTCCATAAGAATAACATGGGAATTTCAAAATTACAAATTTTTTGAATTTTCTCCGTAACAAATAGGCGCATAATAACGCTTCAATATACTAAATTATTTGTTTTTTTAAGCTCTACAAAATGGTTTAAAAAGAAATTGTGAAATTTTGTGTTTTTAGGGTCAAAAATGGGAAAAACCTATTTTTACCCCATAAAATCCCCCATAAACCCCCGTTCCCATAGTCGGATCATGCTGGTTCGCGAACTCATTCCAAGTTTATCCCGCCTTACACCTTCAAACCAAATTTTATCAAAATCGGACAAAAATTACTCAAGTTATCGTGCGGATGGACACATATATATATATATCTCTATATATAGATATATAAAAATTTGACCGAATGGTGTTTTTGGCCTCTGGGGACATCAAAATGAAAAAGTAAATCGGTCCCGGGCTTAGGTCTTACCATGAGACCTACGGTAATAGCTACTTCCCTATAGGGAAATTCGCTAAAATTAAGAAACCTCTTATAACACTACGCTTATACTGTTACTCACAAGACGGTAAATATACAAAAGATGGTAAGTGGTGATCGATTTCGATTGGACACTCCAATCCATCTTGTTATTTACTTTCCGTAAATTTAATAACACGTACAATGCTGATCAAGAAGTTATTTAATTTAGTTATCAAATTGAAATTACCCCTTATTTTATAGGATAAGAAATCTACAGATTTATTTACCTATTTTCTTGTAGGATCTATTGTTATACTGGTATGTATATGAAACTTAAATTGTTACAGTACTTTTATTTAATTTTGATCCATGACACATATTCTTGAATTTGTTGTAACTACTTACATGGCACCCTCTATAAAAACCGTTTTCAAATAGTTATTTGTTTCGCTCTGATAAAAACCGAGTATCCTCAAATTAAAAGTGGCTTCTGTGACCGTAGGTATTATTAGATACACTGCATATTGGTTGTAGTTGTAAGCCATGTTCCAAAATGCGCACTCAAGTAAAGAAAAGAAATTAGTAGAAACTAAGACTTTGTTACATCAAGTTGCATTTGGAACCCAATAAAGTTTAACTGCTAGTTAACTACTCTAGCCTACATGATTGTAACTCCACCTACCACATTAAGGTCCACAACTCCTTGACATACAGACTCAGTAAACAAAGATGTACACAGTTTGACAAGTAAAGCCCGTGATACTTGGTCGGGCACCTTGAGTTTGTAAGCTGAGAGGAAGAAGTCAAATACAGCTCGGCAAGTAGTACACAAAGACTCTTCTCCAAATGGAATACTGTGAATATCTACGTTTTCCAGATTTGCTTCCCTTGCAGTAGAAGACATATCTTTGAAAGCCTTCATGGCAGCACTAAACTGTGGCTGAACTGGGAAATTTAAAGTTGAAATGTATTTACTTGTGTACGGTAGTCAAAACGTATATACCTAATAGTAATATTAATTTATTTTCATACGAATTTAAAGTTTTTTAATATAAGTGAAAGTGTAATCATAAACATAGCAATCAGAAAAACAAAATTTAAAAGAATTATCATATGGTAAAAATATAAAACAGTATAACACATGACAAAAGTATGTTGTATTTTTTAACTGACTACGTTCTTTTAACTCTTTTTTTCCCTGAAAACCATTAAAATTTCACTCTTTGGACTCTTACACAGATTATTCAATTCACTAAATCATTTGTAAAATTTTTTAATGTTTCACCAATTATAAGAATTAATAATCTAAATTATTGCAAACAAGTTTTAAGTAAACTCCCAAGGTAATTACATGTAACCCCTTGTAAAATCTGTAAATATGTAAACCTAACCTAATATAAATGCACTGTAAAAAGTTACTATATTGTATCATAGACAAATAGAATAAATATAGACTGTCAAAGGAAGCTTTCGGCGCCCAATGCTAGGAGTGCCGTGTAGTTACGGCACACACCCCTGCAGGCAAAGAGTGCAGGAGCCATATGCTACCAGCAGACGCTGCAGCGGTGTGCGTCGTAACTACACGACACTCCTAGCGCTGAGCGCCAGAACATATGCTAACCGCAGCACTGCTACCAGTCTATATTCATTCTATTTGTCTATGATTGTATGTAGTAAAAGAATGGTGGTCCTTTCTTTGAAAATTCTACAACAGTAAATCACTACTTACTTACATTCAATGCTTTCGAATGAGACATTTTAATCGATATATATTGAACTTATATTTCAACCCATAATATATCGTACGTTCTCTACAGAACTAAAATCCGTTACAGTAGAACCCCTCATATCCGGCCACCACGGGACCAAGCCCCTGGCCGGATAGCGATTTGGCCGGATAAACCAACCTACTATGAAAATGAAAATGATTCATACCTATAATAATATTTAATCAATACATGCTGTCAAAAGTATCATTTAAGTCTATTCTAGGATTATTTTTTGAACAATTAACATGATTTACAAATTAAAAAAAAATATTTGTAGGCTAAAGTTGTTAAGGAATGAACGTACGAGTATTAAGATTTCAGGTAACAAAAACTATTAAATGATGGAGGTAAAAGTTACATTAAATCAGCCTTGAAGATTTTTAGGACCTTAAAAGTAAATACAATTCTACTCAACTTTCTTATCCATTTTGTGAAATAAAAATACAAAGATTAATTTCCTAACCCGGGGCCCCAACTGTTTAGAGGTTAGGCCTAGTTCAACTGAGTTTAGTGACACAGTAAAATGCATTAAAGAAACAGATAAATAGTTTAGCTCAAACAAGTCGCAAAGACTAGTGCTTGCATCTAAACGTCTGTAAGCTTTGAGAAAAACATTTTGATATTGGCTTCCTGGAAGTGGCCGGATAAACAGAGGACCGGAAAAACCAAGGCCGGATATCAGGGGTTCTACTGTAAAAGTCAACAATTTTTTTATCTAACGTCTAAAAAAGTTTCATAGTTTAGCATAGAATTTAAATAGAATAAAACATAAATAAAATAATAGTCGCAGAAATACTTACCCATAGAAGGTATATTAGGAATTAAATTCTGAGCCTCAGTAAAAGAGATGTAGCTAAATACAAGTATAGTTGAAAGTTGCATCTCAAGGTAAAGGAATACTGACACCCACTAAAATGAGTTAAATTAACACAGTTACATATAACACCTACTTAACCTAGCAACAAGTCTCATCAGTTATCAGGGTTATATGCATAAAGCATTATCACATAGGAAGTTGAAAGAACAAGTCAGGTGTCAACCAAAAGTTCCTCATGCAAATTTGGTCCATAAATTGTATTTCATCTGCATATTATGGTGTAACATTTAAACTACACTGTCTGTACTATCGCCAAAATTGCCAACAGAGATATTTTGCAAATGACAGAATGGGGAATAAATTTAGACAACGGTTGTCAGCCAGCTCCACTGTATTTATAAGACGTACACAATCTATGCAAAATGCAAAAGTTTAATTACACTCATTCATACATATCTTCAGCACAATAGACTTACTTACTGTATACAGATTCCTCGGGACAGAGGCCAGATTTCCAGTTAAACCAAAGTCCTCTAAAACTTGTTAAATTAGGAACATCTAATGCACGCCTATAGAAAACTCAATAGAAAACTACCAAAAATAGTTTACTTAAATTTGGGAGAGCATTGTATTTAGAAACATGCTCACTGGTGTCAAATCTTACAGTACCGCCCACTTCCTGGCGATCCAGTCCAGTTAAACCTATATGCTGATAAAACTTTACCGGTTAAAGAGATGTCCAGATAAGAGGGGTCTACTGTAGAAAGCATATTTAGGGGTCTGCAGGCAGACTTTTTTGACTTTGGGTAGGGTAAAAAATGTTGGCCCTCAGGTGTTGCCGGCATCAAGTTTTACGCAAACATCTTGGAAGTTGAGTTGAACTTAATGCCGGAATACTTGAAGCAGCAGTCAACATAAAACCTACCAACCATCTCCAATATCTCCACTACAACAGCTCACACCCAAAGAACACCAAATGGTCAACACCCTACAGGCTATCAGAGACAGGAGATAATAATAATAAAAGATAGGTGGAATAAATGGGCTAATAATATGAAATGAAATGCCTCTTTGTGAGACACTCTGTATAGTTTTGGAAATTGTATTTTATCATATCCCTATGACCCTATTTAAACTTAAAATATTTGTCTAATGATGAATGTCACACAAAATAGCATCTTTGTTGAAACAAGCAAAGAGTAGGCAAACTGCAAAATTAAACCCTAAAAAAAGTGTAAAATTTCAACTTTGTGAATCAAATTATTAAATGGCTTTTAGTGCTATAAGTTGTTCAATGCATAGGAAGACCTCCTCATCTGAAAGAGCTATTATTTTTAGTTTTCTAGTTAGGTGGTAAGTGAACTCACAGGGCAGGCTAGGCCCAAAAGTACCAAAATATGACATAACCAGTAACCACACAGCCATTGGTGGTTGGCGCAAGATAGAAGTCCTGAGCTATAACCACAGGGCTGACCACAATTTAGCAGATAATAACTAATAACTAACTGAAGTCAAGGTGGATAAATTAATAAAATACAACAGCTGTCAAACGTAATTGTATTTGTTACTCGTACACCTCTGTCATTTCTGCATCATCAATGGTCAGGTCATCCAGCATCTCTTCCAGGGTGATATCTGGGACAGATGGGTCCACAAGGTCGTCAGAGTCCACAGCCAGAGGCGGAGGCACCCTCAGCTTGGCTGGGTCCTTGTAGATGTTAACCTGCTGCCGGGTAGACGGGTCTTCTTCCAACTCTGCCAAAAACTCCTCGTACTCCCTGCAAACATTGTTGAATCAGTGTGCAATCAAGAGATGAACGACGTAAATGTAGGTCAGAACTGTAAATCACTTAATTACTATGATGGGGTGCAACTGACAACATATTTTGGTAAATATGTATTTTCGGGTCTGCACCCGATAAAAATCTTGAAATTCAACACTAATTTCGAAAATGTCATTCTTTTTTTGAGGAAAATGACAAAAACCCTAAAAAAATAAGAGAATGATAAAGAACTTTTTATTTTTTAAATAAAAAACACGTCATCTGGGTACTCAGGTTAACCAGTATAACGAGCAGATCACAAATATTTACAAAAATGAGCGGCGCAATTTCAGAATACCCCGAAAACGGGGCTAAAAGCCATAAGTGAATGGCAAGATTTGAACCTATATCTAGAGGACACTAGTCCCACGCTATAGCCAAACAAGGTAAAGGGTTTATTGTATTCATATGATTTACAATTAATTCATATAAAACAAGTTCATGTTTCAATCTCCAACTACTCACTTATCCTCAGTGTAGGGATGAGCCTCTTCCTCTATGGGAAGATGTTTGAGTTGCCACTTTCTTTTGCGCTTGCGAGCCGCTCTATCGGCATAAAGCTTCTTGACCAAGATCACATCGGGAATGTTATCGGTCTTCAACTTGTTAAAGTTGGTATCATTGATGTTTGCCTCTCCAATGGCATAACTGTAAACGCATAACCCAAACAATCATAAACTTTATTTTTACAAACTTCTAGTTATTTGTACCATAATGTTCGATTTGCATTTGGAAAAACAATAAGTCTCGTTGAAAACTGTGTGTTGTGTTTGTGTACCTGGCGAGTCCTGAATAACAGATAACAAAAGTGAGTGGAACCCTTATACTGGGGTGGAACTCATTAATTTATGAGATTCTCACTACATCTGTAGGGTAAAAGAGAGAATTTAATGTCAAATAGTTCCAAAGAATTTGTCTTGACTAACTTGTTGCACATATTGAATGGTAAAATGGAGTAACCTTCTTGCTTGTTGTTGTGCTGAGAACATTTTTTTAGTTTGCATTAATGATCGATTTGGTATATGAAATGTAGGTTCAGAACCAAAAGTACGATTTCAGTTTTAATTTATCAAAATAGAGTCTTTGAACTTTCCATTGTTACCAAAATTGGTAATTGATCAACTACTCTTACCCCATCACAGAGTCTCCAGGTTTGAGGATATGTCCGAGATGGGTGCGAGTAAATATCGTCTCATCGGATCCAATATCAGCTGCTTTGACAACCCAGGCGTCCGCCAATGTGTGCTGAAAGCCAGGTCATGAAAATAAGTTAAGCTCCACGTCTAACAAATTATGATACACTTTCGCTCCCGAGCTATTAAGGAATTAATTTACACACAGCCCAAGGCTGTTTCACAGTACTTGACACTCGCTACCATGTGTATATATTTTATCCCCACATAATAGCTTACGTAACAGTTCAATAGTGGAATTTTCTATTGTGAAACAGTACTTTAAAACAAAATCCCTACCGATCGGGCGATCATGTCATTCTGTGTCAAGTCATTATGCCGTTGACAATCAGTCGCCGACTGCTTTGAGTTGACCTTTTCTGTTGTGACAGCTATAAAAATAGATTAGGGCAACTACCTCTTGCTTATTTCTACACTGTAGAAATATTTGTATTACTGTAGAATCTACAGAAATTCAAATTATCCAACATTTTATGTAAACTTTAAACACAAGTTACATTTTAACAAATATTTATTTTTTACAATTTTAAACCAAACTCAACTGAAACTGCCGAGTTAAAAGATAAGCTCAATTTTCTAAGCCGTACTCGACTTGAACTCAAAATCTCGAGTACTCGCACATCTCTAATTATAGTTGTTATTTACAATCCCAACACTTAGTTTTATCCAGGCCCGTTTGTATCATATTAACACACCATTAAATATCCTGTACCCCCCATGAGGTAATTTTAGCGAATTTCCCATATAAGCTATTACCGTAGTACTCATAGTAAGACCTGGACCCGGGACCGATTTACTTTTTCATTTTGAGGTCCCTAGAGGCCAAAAAACCATCCGTTCAAATTCATATATTACTAGTGTACCTGTTGCTCGAATTCGAGCAATTGCATTACATGTGACTCAAAGATTATGGAAATACTCACAATCTATACAATAGTTAGATATAATCAAAATTTTTTGTAAATATCTTATCTTTTTTCAAAAAGCTGATCTTGTTTTTTTAGTGTTTTCTAAAAATTTTTCCCTCTCATAGTCTCATTAGGTTGTCTAAGATAACGATTATAAATGAAAAAAAAAACATTATTTCTATTTCTTCTACTTGGTTGTGTTCTATGACTTTTCTATGTTTCCATTGTTTGCAAATCGGTTATTTCAATGATTGCTCAAGAAATGTAGAACAGTGTTAATTCAGTTTTATTTTTAGCCTATATCAAATTGTCCAGGATTTCTCACTCTTTTCCATTCTATACACCAACCCAAGTTTCGTCTACAGATGCAATATGCCAACGAATATCACCTACGTACAATCTCTAAGAAGTGGTAAAAAAGGCAGAAACCAACCCATACAATAGTGATATAAGTTAACTCCAAAAGAAAAGAGTTACTGTGATAATAGGATTTTCCACTGATTTGGTAATAGAACATTATATTGCAAATCATGACACGATGCAGAAGAAAATCCATTTTAAAATCAGAAAAACCCATTGCAAATACTGTACTTCATTTTGACAAATTCAATAAATCACAATTTAAATATTAACAGCTGTTTCATTAAAAAGTAGTGTAGAATCATGCATATGGTCGTAATGTAAACAAATCTGGAGGCAACTTTAAAGGCTTCTGGGGCAGAGCTCCAAGGGAATTGACCTCGTTCCTCTTTTGATGGCTCATCTGCAGACCAAGACCTTTCTTTAGATACCCCTACAGAGTTTCTACGCCCAGCCGTTCTCTCAAATTAGCTGTGACAAAAACCCCGTTTTCCTCCATAAGAATAACATGGGATGGGAATTCAAAGGCCACTGGGGCAGAGCCCCAAGGGAATTCACCATGTTTATCTTTCGATGGCTCATCTACAGACCAAGACCTTTCTTTAGACACCTCTACCGAGTTTCTACGCCCAGCGGTTCTCTCAAAATAGCTGTGACAAAGAAAAACAGTTTCAAATTAATATATAGATATATTTATATATATGTGTCCGTTAGCGTGATAACTCAAGCAAAAATGATCCGAAATTGATGAAATTTAGTACGTGTAAACCTACATTTATTCAAACAAGTTTGCGAACCAGCATGATTGGACTATGGGAACGGGGGTTTTATGAGGTAAAAATAGGTTTTTCCCATTATTGACCCTAAAAACACAAAATGTCTTTCCAAACCATTTTGTAGAGATAAAAAAAAAATAGTATATTGAAGCGTTATTATGCACCTAATGGCTACGGATAAAATATAAAAAAAATGTAAATTTAAAATTCCCATGTTATTCTTATGGAGAATAAGTCAACTGTTGTAGGTGTAGAGTCAATGGCTGTAGTTTGCTTGTTTATGAACATATTTTGATCACATTTGGAAAATACATTAATTTAAACTATTAACATTTTACAACAAAAACACTTTTTTACCCTCCCTGTTGCAGCAAACCTAAACTCATTAAACAGATTCTATTTAAATATGGAATAATTGTGCTATTTTTAAGGAGACATTTTAGTATAAATCCAATCAGGCAAATGGAAATTCACTTACTCTGCAGGTTTGTATATCCCTTCTAAATATCACTTTATCACTTTTCTAAATATCCACTTCCAATGAGACATTTGTACACTTTTGGGATGTGTTAATTTAGCAGGCTATATTGAAATGATATGCCAGATTTCAGCTCATTCGTGTTTGATTCACAGACTTATTTTAGGTTGAAAATTAATCACGACTTTCAAAACAAATTGGTTATTGTATTTCAACCAAATTACTAATTCACCAATACCTTGTTAGAAGTAGCTCCCATTCCAGGGAAGACCCTTCTGTCTCTCTCCCTAATCACTTCAATGTCCATGACTATGTACTCTGTCAGATGACGGGTTTCACAAATGTTGTTGAACGGATTCCTCCAGTAACTTGTGTTGTCGATTTCCGCAACTGCCGAGGTAAAAATATAGATCAGTCTTCATAAAATCACTTTCACATTTAAATAACGACTATTAATAGTTACATCTAAGACATTTCCAGACAACAAAGGAGATTTCAAGGTACTCACTTTGGCCAGTGGATGGGTCGATGAGATGCACATGAGCCGTGTACTTGTATATAAGACACAGAGGGCTGATCCCTCCTAGCTGGTTACACAAGGATTTGCTCAGACAGACCAGACTGTTGCGGGTCACTGGCACGATCTCCACACTAACAACAACAACCAAACTTAGTGGTAAATAATCATTCAATCACATAACACGACCCTCTACGCATTGAGGTGGGTTTATGTAACTATTGGAGGCTTTGATGGGGTATGAGTTTGGGGTGCAGAGTTTCAGCTTATATTAGTACAACTTAGTCAATGATCCTTTGACAGCTCGTTTTGATGGATTGTTTAGTGTTTACAGTTTATATGAGGCTGGACTTGGAATGGCTTAGCATGTATTTAGTTTTGTTAAAGGAAGAGTTTCTTTATGCTAAGACAAATTCAGTATTTCAATTATCAATTATCAATTATTTGAGATGAGGACACCACTATGTGCGTATTTTAACCCAAATATGAGTTGAGGATGAGTGTAGGATGAGTGGTGCGATCTTGTAGTCTTGTTAGTAGGGATGGACGAGATTGGATTTTTAGTTCGAGATGAGACGAGACAAGATTTTTTATTTCTCATAAAATTTCGAGACGAGATCGAGACGGGATTTCCCTTCTCATACGCAACGGGAAATGCACGTTCAAAATTTTTACCTGATTTTGTAACATTGTTAGATGACTGTTTAAATACAAAAATAATGTAATAGGCAAGAATATTTACAATCTTTTATTAAAAAACATCAGCATAACATTTTTTTATTAATCACGCCTAACTTATTAAAAATGCCTACGATTAGGAAACATAGTGATATCAGTTAGGATAGAGTTCAACTTATCCTAAAATAAAATAAATCATAAAATAAAAGCAATATTAATTTTTATAAAATAGTTACTTGTTTTGACTTTTTATAGTAATAAAACACTCCTCACACTGCTTACACTTAACAAAACTTCTCAAATGTTATTAAAGTAATATTATTAAAATAATTAAAGTAATATTTACATTTAAAGAATTACTTAAATAAGAACGCCTTCGCAAAGGAAACGCAACTACAACACGCTCCTGTATTGCGGGTATTGCATTGACTTTCTGCAGGCGTTTTTAATTTTTTTTTTTTTTTTTTTTTTTTTTTTTTTTATTCTTGTCTCGATAAAAATCTCGGCCAAAAAGAAATCTCGTCTCGTGTAACGAGATTTAAAATTTCGAGACTTGACCATCCCTACTTGTTAGTGACTAAGGCCGACATGTTCCTTAGTCACAGCTGTTAATTAATAGCCCATACAGCTAATGGCAACTAAGGGACCTACAGTTTATAGTGGAATCCAAACCACATTTTTTCCTTTTAATTTACGAATTGGTCTAATTATCAGGATAGTACTGCGGATAGTCATAGTACTCACTAGTGCGGACGTTAATCCACACCAGGGAGCATCGCATCCACAGTGCATCCCTATAAATATCCACAATTATAAATGGCATTCACTGGAATACAGTACGACAAGATCATGAATCTTCTAAAAAACAAATTTATTCGTAAGTGAACTTCTTTTCCTAAGATTGTTAAATTGAGGAATATTTTGCAACAAACATGAAGGTAGCTGAGAGCTTATAGTGTTAACTTATGTTTTCGATTCTGAACAAGTTCAGTAGCTTTTTCATTATCAAAACTGGTCCCAGCCGACCGTAGTCATTGAGCTTTTGTTTTAATCTAAGTATTACCTGTAAGTAAACTTGTAGTTGTATATGTTGCTGTGCATATCATGGGATTGGAGCTTTTTGCTTGTTTCAGTTCGACAAGGTAGAACAGCAGTTAGGAAAGACACCATTTTACGAGCATGTTGTTCCGTGGCGAAAAAGAAGTCCAGTCCATCTGAGAAAGAAAATTACAATAAATTTTCATCCATAGATGAAATTAAGAACGTAAGTGAATTTGAGTTACCATTCATGTATTTGATACAATCAAAGTTCCTACAAAAACAAAAAGTTAACAGAAATAGCAAAACGCTTTAATCCTATCTGCCAGAGCATGAAGCAAATAGGGAATAGGGATTAACTGATAATTTTGTTGGAAAAAATTATAACGTTAAACAATTACAGTCTAGGAGCACAATATCCTTTTTTAAATGCTTTAAAAACATCAAAAGATAAAAAAATTTGTATGATGTTAAAAATATTTTACAGCAAGGTTGACAAAATCTGTCTAAAAAGACATAATATAACCTTCAAAATTAATTTCAATGAAAATAATTGAATTAAAATTAGTTTAGTTAAACATAAAACAACTCACCATGTTGGGGTTTGATTCCCAAGGTATGTTCGTGAGCCTTGTGTTTAAGAATCAACTGTTCCAAATAATAGAATGTTGTTTTGGAACTGGCTTTTTGGCGAACTTGTACCTGTGATGGAAAATCCATTTCATTATTGCCACCAAAAAAATACACTATAGTCCACAAGTCAAAAATACCCCCGCCGCAGCAAACCTGCAGACTAAGCGAATTTCAACTTGTCTGATTACATTTTTACTCAAATATTTCCATAAATAAGACATACTATTTATTCCCTATTTAAATAACATTAAATTTAACAAGTGCTTAGGTTTGCTGCTACGGGGAAGGTAAAAAGTGTTTTTTGACCATACGTGAATAGTATGGGATGAAATAAATAAATTTGCCAAATTTTATCAATATATATCCATAAACAAGTAAACTACAACAATTTTTATTTTCTCCATAAGAATAACATGGGAATTTTAAATTAAACTATTTTTGAATTTTCTCCGTGACCGTTAGGCATACAACAGCGCTTCAATATACTAAATTATTTCTTTTTTTAAGCTCTACAAAACGGTTTAGAAATAAATTGCAAAATTTTTTGTTTTTAGGGTAAAAAATGGGAAAAACACATTTTTACCCCATAAAACCCCCCATAAACCCCTGTTCCCATGGTCCGATTATGCTGGATCGCGAACTCGTTCGAATAAACGTAGGTTTACACGTTTGTACCAAATTTCATCAAAATCGTATCATTTTTGCTCGAGTTATCGCGCTAACGGACACATATATATATATGTATATAAATATATATATAAATATATATATATATATATGAATTTGAATGGATGGTGTTTTTGGCCTCTAGGGACCTCAAAATGAAAAAGTAAATCGGTCCCGCGTCCAGGTCTTACCATGAGTACTACGGTAATAGCTTATTCCCTATATGGGAAATTCGCTAAAAGACAATTTAAAACAAGTTTTGACATCTTTCTTTTTCATATCTACTATTTGTGCTGGGCCAATAGGCTTTTTCTCATTTTAGCGTACATTTTAAATTTGAGTTTTACTCTTTCGTTATAGGCCTAATAGTAGAGGAAAAAAGTTCATTGCAAATTGTTTTATTTGATTGAAATAGTTAAAATTTTAATGAAGTGGCAGTAAACAAATTGTAATGATTTAACAACCTTTAACACCAAACACAAAACATACAAAAACTGTGAGGGAGTTTATGTAATACATATTTATCTCCAAGCAATGAATGAACGTACCAAACATCGCCAGAAGTCCTGGGCTTCAGAGCGATGGCAGTCATTGCACATCTGATGGTTTACAGTGAACTCTACAATGAACACCTGCTGCAGGATTGTTGCTCCCATCACCTACAACACAAACACTACATAGACCAAGACCATCTCCAACAGCCTTAAAGATCTGCGTTACCGTAAGCCTCTGTAATTCTAATTCAGGACAAAAAATACACACCTGATCAACACCGTTATTGATGTTCTCATGATGGGTTTATTAGTCTCCGTTCTCTCAACCTCTCTACACTTAAAATTGGGACCTCAATAATCCAAATTTTATTTATTCTAACCTCTATGAATCAAACTCACTATATTTCAACTTTTCATAGTTCAAAATATACTGTCTTTCCTCTGAAATTCAAAATAGCGAGGTTCTACTGTAGACAATAGACAAGATTGGGTCATGGAAATATTACGTAGCACACTTATACAGCTGATCATAATGTAAATAAACAAATATGTTCTTCAAAAATAAGGATAACATGGGAACTTTAGTTTGCAAATCTACACACCCAGACAAACATTTTGGTAGGTAGGTATATAATATGTGGGGCTAAATCTTAAAACAAAAAAGCCTTATTGTTCACAAAGTTTCATGTAGCGTATTAATAATATAGAAGATAGATTTAATGCCTCAACATTATTAGTTTTCAAATTTTCATATTATTCTTTTAAACTTTAGCTTTTTTTATAATCTCATAGATTTTCTATGGCAAAATTTGTTACCAAACAGCTGTTTGGCATTTACTTACCATAGCTTTTACTTCAATTTTATGTTATGTGACCTATAATCTTAAATTAAATTAGTTGTATGTTTTAATTGGGATAAATTATTTTTGTTGGTTTATTATATTATTAGTAACAATCTCGCTTGTTTGTATCAACTTTGCTTAGATTATAAACAGGTTACATTAATAAGGTAAAATTATGCTTAACCTGTTACTAGTCTACTACGATCGAGTTACGTAACGCAAGCAAGGTGGGAAGTGGGGGGGAGGGGGGTTGCTCAAGTGGTACAGTGCGTTACATGTTGGAGGGGGGGTTTAAAATGACAAAAAAAGTGTGTTACGTAATGGTAAAATGTGGCCCTAAGTAGAAAAAAAAAAAAAATTGGTTTATCAACTGAAGAACCTACTGTATTTAATAGATGGATGGTAGTTACTTAATTCAACCATTTCTCCGTTGTTTGATAAGTAACAAATTGATGCTATTTTATGTAGCCTACATTTAATATTTAAATAATAAATACCGGTATTGCTTGATTTGACAAAAGTTTACATGTGAAATAACAATAATTGTTACTATTGTTGTGTCATGACACTACGGCTCACCTCGCCCTGTACTGTCAACTTGAGTTTGACTCTACGGGAGTGCGGCTCCGTCCACACAAATCCAGCGTCCACCAACTTGACTCTGTTGAGACCCTTGACCTTGCCAAGACACAAGGACAACATCTCCCGCGACTCCAGAGCACATTGCACCCACTCATTGGGTGGCTTCAAGTATCTGTACAGTCAAGTCACAAAACATGAGGGAATCAGCAAATATATACATTTTGTCAATAAAGACCCACTGATCCGATCCGCCTAATGAGAAAAACCATTTAAGGTGAGCAGGACTTAAAAAATAAATAGCGTGCGTAACTAACATAGTTATTGCACATTTAACCTTCGATCGTCACATAATTTAGTTTTAATTGAAATGTACAGTATAATTATAAACAATTTACTACCTTTAATTATTGATGGTCAGATGCTTAATACCTACTAAAAAACAATATATAACAAGACTCTGCCTAAAAACAGGGTTTGGACCTAGTCTGTTTTGATTAAGATATTAATGTAATTATAAAAACCCGACAACAAATTTAAAACCAACTTTGCTTCTGCAATGTTGTTTTCTTTAGTTTATTATGAAATGGAGAACTGAATGGTACAGTGCAATGTTTGTCTCAGTCCCCTGATTCCATGAAACTTATTCAGTCTAGTTTAACTGAAACTATATTTTAACTATATTAACTTGTATTAGCTAGGCCTACGCCAACATTACAGGTATTTAAACCACTTTAATTGTAACTTGTTTTGGCTAACAAAAATCCGGACTGGGAATTATTTTTAAGTGCCTGCGTCTCTAGAAAAAACCAAACTAGGCCTATTCTTACTATTTTACTCGAGGTTTACACTTTTTGAACGGAAAATTTTAGGTGGTGTCTGTGTGTGTGTTTGTATGAGCTAATCTCAAAAACTACTGGTCGGATCGGGCTGAAATTTGGCATGATGATAGCTCACATTCCCGATTAACATACAGGCATATTTTTATCCCAAAAATCCTTCGGGGCTCCGCCCCAGTGGCTCTGGAGTTTCCCATGTTAACCTTATGAGAAATTAATGGAATTAATGAATCTTAACAGCTGTTTCAATTAAACAAGTTGGTTCTGTTCTATGATGTTCAATAGCATTAAAAGTTACAAGGATTACCAACAGGGTGCAGCACTAGCACTATTATTTCTTTTACATTTATGACAACAGCAAAAGGTGAGTGAGCGTAGCGAACGAACTTCAACCTGGAGGCGAGTGAGCGTAGCGAACGAGCTAACCTGAAGGCAAGTGAGCGTAGCGAACGAGCTAACCTGAAGGAAAGTGAGCGCAGCGAACGAGCTCCAACCTAAAGGTGAGTGAGCGTAGCGAACGAACTTCAAAAAGAACCGAAATTTCTTAAACCATGTCCTCACTCATAACTGCTATAAGCATTTGATACTTATATGCCAACCCCGTACGAAGGACGGGTACTCTGCTAGTTTTATATAAATCAATTCATAATCTGTTATTAAATTTTATTTCCTATTAGAGAATTATTTAAAGATCCAAATATTGTCGCTGAGGTACGGAGTAGAAGAATGATAAGCAGTAGGCCTACATATTTTAAGAAAAGAAGACAACTATATTAATGATGGTTAATAATATTCATATGATTTGTCTATACAAAAGATAAAATTCAAGAGCTGGTTTGATGAACATGTCAAATGACTGATCAAATGTAAGCAAAGAAAAGTAAATAGACTTTGAACAATGAATACAACATATGATTTATGTACGAATGGCAGGCAGTAGATAGTATACAGAGAACCTTTAACATGATGTATGGAGGCAGTAGATAGTATACAGAGAACTTTTAACATGATTTATGAAGGCAGTAGATAGTATACAGAGAACTTTTAACATGATGTATGGAGGCAGTAGATAGTATACAGAGAACTTTTAACATGATTTATGAAGGCAGTAGATAGTATACAGAGAACTTTTAACATGATTTATGAAGGCAGTAGATAGTATACAGAGAACTTTTAACATGATGTATGGAGGCAGTAGATAGTATACAGAGAACTTTTAACATGATGTATGGAGGCAGTAGATAGTATACAGAGAACTTTTAACATGATGTATGGAGGCAGTAGATAGTATACAGAGAACTTTTAACATGATGTATGGAGGCAGTAGATAGTATACAGAGAACCTTTAACATGATGTATGGAGGCAGTAGATAGTATACAGAGAACTTTTAACATGATGTATGGAGGCAGTAGATAGTATACAGAGAACTTTTAACATGATGTATGGAGGCAGTATATAGTATACAGAGAACTTTTAACATGATGTATGGAGGCAGTAGATAGTATACAGAGAACTTTTAATATGATGTATGGAGGCAGTAGATAGTATACAGAGAACTTTTAACATGATGTATGGAGGCAGTAGATAGTATACAGAGAACTTTTAACATGATGTATGGAGGCAGTAGACAGTATACAGAGAACTTTTAACATGATGTATGGAGGCAGTAGATAGTATACAGAGAACTTTTAACATGATGTATGGAGGCAGTAGATAGTATACAGAGAACTTTTAACATGATGTATGGAGGCAGTAGATAGTATACAGAGAACTTTTAATATGATGTATGGAGGCAGTAGATAGTATACAGAGAACTTTTAATATGATGTATGGAGGCAGTAGATAGTATACAGAGAACTTTTAACATGATGTATGGAGGCAGTAGATAGTATACAGAGAACCTTTAACATGATGTATGGAGGCAGTAGATAGTATACGGAGAACCTTTAACATGATGTATGGAGGCAGTAGATAGTATACAGAGAACTTTTAACATGATGTATGGAGGCAGTAGATAGTATACAGAGAACCTTTAACATGATTTATGAAGGCAGTAGATAGTATACAGAGAACTTTTAACATGATGTATGGAGGCAGTAGATAGTATACAGAGAACCTTTAACATGATGTATGGAGGCAGTAGATAGTATACAGAGAACTTTTAACATGATGTATGGAGGCAGTAGATAGTATACAGAGAACCTTTAACATGATGTATGGAGGCAGTAGATAGTATACAGAGAACTTTTAACATGATGAATGGAGGCAGTAGATAGTATACAGAGAACCTTTAACATGATGTATGGAGGCAGTAGATAGTATAGGTACAGAGAACTTTTAACATGATTTATGAAGGCAGTGTGTTAGGGGAGGCATTGCTTAACCGATTTTAACCATTCACGTCTCATTGCAAAGAGCGTGTCGCTTAGATTTGCAATCAAGGCTTACATTTTTGAAAAAAGACCGTTGGGCTCTGCCTCAGTACACAGGGGCGGACTGGCCCGCCGGCCCACCGGCCGGTGGGCCGATACGCCTTCTCAACATTCCAATATTTGCGCCCTCGTTAAGGGAAAAATTCATAAAAAAATTAAAAAAAATGAGACGAGATGTGTTTTTAGAGAGCAAGAGGAAAAACTTAGAGTAAAAGTTTCAGCAGTGAATAGCAAAACATAAAGTCGGGTGTGAGACCTGAATAGGCACTGTCGTCAAGCGAGAGCAAAGCAGCTCTTCTCTCTCGTACGTGTAGGCCTACTCCGAGTGGAAGGCACTTTACTCTGTGGTCTGAGGTACTTAAAAACAGCTGTCCTCTTCCCGCGTCATTTTACGCCGAACCCCAAAAAAACTGCACTGCGACTGCATCCGACATCGGTCGGTGTCACGATGTCGTCTGTGGTAAACAACTAGTGAAGATAATTTAATATTATTCATATTTGTTATAATATTTAATTATTGCTCACACTATAACTATTTCACTTTAAGTCACATTTAATTTTTATCAATGTCAACTCAACTCTCTTGTAAAATGGCGTTTGCCGTGCATGTAATAAATAAATAAAGAGTGTGAGCTGCCAATTAAAATTCGTCTCTCTTTAGTGAGTGTCTGATTTGTGTATCTGTGTCGAAAGCTTCAATTTATTTTTATATTATTTACCTACACAGAAAACATGAACGAAAGCAGTATTGTAGAATCACTACTTTTACAAAATTTAAATTAGATTTAGTGACAGTGTATATTTTGTTAACTTAACCATTACACAGTAAAGATTAAACAGTAAACAGTATTTTAATACCGTATGTGGCTACCGCCTATTAATTAATTATTTCAATATGCACTATGGCACTAATTTTGTCAACTTTCCTTTTTAGTTACAGATAGCCAGCTCAAAATACCTTTGTAGTTCTCTCTAGGCTATTTCGTTTGTAGAAATAGGTTAGGTAGGCCTACTTTAGGGTTACAGTTTTGACTTAATGTAATGCTAAAAAAGTTTAAGTCAATAAATTGGTTTTGTTCAATGTTCACAGTGAAAGCATATTGTTTGTGTTAAAATAATTTCATAGAAATCTAAAATATATAACTTCTGTTATTTACAGTGCCAAAAAATACAACAGTTGCAAGTTCAGGTTGTAAACAGGAAGCAAATGATTTATATTGTATGCATGCAGCCAAGTCATGCAAGGGAAAATAAAGAAAATACACAAATATAATACGAAAGAACCTAAGAAAATCATTTGTATTTTTATTTTTGTTAGGATATTTACTGTCAGAATAGCACCAAGTCGTGTGGGTAAATAGTCTAAATTTTGTAAACCAAACATTGACCAATAGTGTCAGTTATCAGATTTCTGATTTCCCACTGTTAATGCCTCTAGATTGCCTAAAAATGCGAGTTTACAGGTATAATTTTTTTTAAATTTCCCGGGAGAGGACCCCCGGACCCCCCTCTGTACAGGGGGGTATTCCATACCCCCCAGACCCCCCGGTTGGCGCCTTCGGGCTGGTCAAGGTTTACGCCCTAATAGAGTACCCAGTCCGCCCCTGTCAGTACATTAGGATATTTGCTAGAATATTTTATGAAAAGTGTTGATTTTAGTATTTATTTTGACATCAAACATTTTACAAAAGTTCACACGAATGCATGTTTGGCAAAATTCTTACAAAGAGAAATTGGCAAAACTCTTGTAACAAGGATTTGAATTTTTAGACAGAATATTGAACCAAACTAAAAAAAAAACCTAATAACTTCAATCATGTGCATCATGTGCGTTGAAACAAATGCTCACTAATAAATCAACCAAACAAAAAGCTGATAATAAATTACATACAATATGAAGATAAGTTATCTCCATAGGCCTACAGTGTTAAATTTATACTTCTGTCTCTACTCATTAGGCCTACAGTAGCCTGGTACTCGTGTAGCTTGAATTAACATAAAGATAAGCCAACTCAACTATGCACTGGATCATAAGAAATTGTGTTTCAGCAGTGTTACAATTCATTGCAGCACTTGTTGTCGCTCTGGGTGTATCTAAGTTCTTGGACTACATTCCTCATGACTTTGACTAGTGATGCTTAAAAACATTCATACACAAATAATAGGCTAAGTTAAATGTTAAGATTATTCTCAAATTGATAAATTATGATTAAGATTGAGGACGGAACGTTTTTGTAGGTTATTTAAAAAAATAGCATGCTCCGTATATTCTTTACTGACATAAGAATATTAGAAAGTAAATACTTTTTAAGAATAGGCCTAATTAATTATTTCATAACTTATGATTTGATCATCCATAATATTATGAATGCAGGCCTAACATGGCAGTTTTGCTATATTATTTGAAATATATGTTCTCTTTTCAAATCATAAAACCTACATTCTTCTCTAATGCAATTGTGATTTGTTAATATGAATTATGAATAAAAAATATTTTTTGTTTATTCACTATGAATTGTCAAGTAAATTGTTATTTGAATAAAAGTGTGCATTAATCACTTAATATTTCCTCATTTCCTGGAAATTTTTCTTCTTGCCGTACATGATTAAGATACACACAATTAAAATAGCGTTTTTTTTTCAGTTTCATAGGTCTATGTACCCCCCCAAATTAATTAATGATATATAGAAAAAGTTTACTTTGATGAGCCACAATAACTCTAAATTTCAACAAAAGTTCAGAGATAATGCCAGGAGAAATCATGTAGTATATTTAATGCCTCCTTAGTTACCAAATAATAATACAGTGTGTGATTACCTAGACTTGACATGGTTTTAATGACAATGACATTAACTTAAATTAATTACTAAAATCAAGTGTAATTAAAAATGTTCAACTAATATTGTCAATTATTTAGGCCTACCTCTCACAACCTCGACAAAAGTATAAAGTTGCTTGTTTAGGGATGTCCGCAGTTATGTCGACTTGAGAACGAAGACAAGCTGCGCACATGTACGCAGGGTTGGGCTCGATAACATCCCCGCAACCACAACATAGTCTACACAGAACATTTTGAAATATTAAATCATGTTTGCAAAATGTATTTTTGAGTAGCCTACTTTTAATACTAACAGTTTTTTATCTTTAGTAGTTGCCTTACTATGAAAAGACCTCACTAGTTACCTGCCTGAAGTAAAATTATTAGGCTTCATAATCGACCCCAAACTCACCTGGGAAAAACATACCATGAAAGTGTGCACCAAGCTATCGAGGACATTGCATCTCTTTAGGAAGCTCAAACCTATGCTGACAAAGCAATACCTACTGACTGTCTACTTTCCTTTATTCCACAGCCATCTCAGCTATGGGTTGGAGGTTTGGGGCCATGCAGCTGACTGTAAGGATATACTTTTGTAACAAAAGAAGGTAGTCAGACTTATTTCGTCCGCTGACTACCACGAACATTGCTGACCTCTTTTTAGTAAACTCAATATCCTTACAGTAAACAGCCAGTACATTCTAATCACCCTAAACAACGTAAGGACCAATACCTCTAGTCTTGCATTGAGAGCACAATAGAAGGTCAAAATCCAACCTTGATTGATATCCCTTTCTGCAGACTAAAAAAAAGGGCAGCTTTCCTATGTTGGCAATTAGGATGTACAACTGACTGCCACTGTACTTTAAAAACCTTGACGCCTCAGTTTTCAAAAACGAACTGAGGGAGTGGCTACTGGCAAGGCCCTTGTACTCCCTAGATGAGTTTATAAAGTTTGCGTCCAGCCTGCCGCCAAACTTGTAAATATGTATATAAATATTATTTTTATTTTTGACTGAAGTCTATCCAGCAAGAGCAGGTCAACAACGTCAAGGGAGTAAGTAAGAAGTAAGTAAGTTGTTTTTATCGGGTGGTTAAGTTCAATTCAATTCAACAGATAACATTTATTAATAATAACATAAAACATACCGGTACTTCAAAACTAGCTTATATATGTGTATGACAAAGAGTAAATATAGGCCTAATAAAGAATAATCTGATAACATTAGAAGAAATTCCACACAATTTGAGTAGGTACCCTACCCACAACATTGGTTTTGAGCAAAAAAATATTTTACTGGGAAAACGGGACGTTTCCGCAAAAAAACGACAATTATTTTTGAAATCAGCGTGAAATTTCGACCATTAAAAAAAAAAATTTTAATTTCGCGTGAGGTACGGAGGTCGATATAATTACCGAGTACTTTAATGGGTACTTTGTTACTATCCAGAGACCACTTAATTTTAGAGGAATTATTTTACCGGAGACCAAAAATAACTACCGTAGTTAAAAAGTTGAACATTATTTAATTGACTTACCCTACTGTCAAAATTTGACATGATTACGATTAGCGGCCTTTGAGTTCTGCCTCCCAGAAGGCAGCGATGTCGGCAAGGATTGAGATGAATGCGTCCCCGTCCATAGCTGCCACATGTACTCCACCACGTATAGCGCGCTGCAGCGGTTTATGTTAGGTTAAGGGTTATCATAAATATGTTTAAAGGGCTCTCCTCGTTTCATTATGAATCGAACGATACTGGATGAGTCATCACTCAGCACAAGGCGCGGTGACGGTGATGCCACGGTCCGGTCAACGGCCTGACTTTGACCTACTTGGAGGGTATTTGGGGGGCGTAAAATGACTAATATTGTACCTAACTTATCCTTCGGTTCATAACGAATCAAGGAAAGTCTAAACATATTAATGATAACTGCCGCAGTGGGTGTAAGGGTGGTCTGCGGATAATACCAAAGTAGGCCTTCCATTTCCTGACTTGCTTGACTCGACTCAACCTTGACCGATCACCTCCAAGGTGGTTTCTCGGAGTAGACCCGAGGTTAATTCCAGTGATCCAGATTCGACACTCGAGTTGGCTGACTCGTTATATAAGCCAATGGAGTGTTAGTTTCCCCCAATATATAATGATATAAATAAGGCCTATATGTGGTTTTGAATCTACAACCTAAGAAAATAACTTATAGCCTAAGTTCATAACAAATAACTTACACAGTGGTGTTCGAGGTTTCGGTAGGAGCGATGTACTCCATAGTTATTCTTAGGGAAATAATTTAGATGATGAAACAACACTAAATGTCAACTTATAAACTTAGGAAAATCATAATATAAATTGATCCCTTCAATTATGTCTCTGAATTACACTTCACTACCTCAATGACAAAGTTGAGGCTAACCTAAAAGAACATGAGGATGAGCGATGAGATGAGAGGAAGAGGAAGAATAAAAGATGACGCACGTCATCATGTGTTCCATCACAACAACAGCTGATTTGCTGTTTTCCCTCAGCTGTGTAGAGTAGAGACCAGGTCCACCAAAACGGCACACGGAAGATTTCTCAGGTGCTGTTTGACGTCACTAAAGCCTGGTTTACACGGGTCGAGTACGGTGGGCGAGTCAGTGTACGAGTTGCCACTCGCTCTCTAACTCGCATGGTGTAGACATGCAGGCGAGTCGAGCAACGGGCGAGTTGATAAAAAGAGGTCAGTTGAGAGCGAGTCGAGTGATTTAGTTGAAAACCGAGTTGCTCGGCCCAGTAGCTACCCCCACCACCACGATTTGCCCGCGAAACATCTGTTTAGTGCTATCAAGTGAGTCCGGCGGGTGGGTTTCATAATATCGACAACCGTAGAAATTGATCGAAACTGAATTATTCCCAGTTTGTCGACACTGGAATATTCCCACTTAACCGACATCCCAAATAACCGACGTCGCAAATGATCGACACCACAAATTGTCGACATCCCATATTGTCGACAATGAAATAGTTTCACTATGTCGACACTGAAATAGTCCGGTCGCAATGAGGGGAGGACTCGTAGTAGGACGATGACGTCATTAATTAGTTCAAATTTGTTCCACGGGCAGCACTCTAGTCAGGCAGCCGACACCTTATGACGTCATCAACTTTACTTTTTTTTAGGCTTGGCTTGATGTTTTGTTGATGTTTATACATCGATCGGTGCAGCAGAAGACAAGAGTTGCAGTTGAGTATTTTTATTATTATTGCAAGATTTCTGTTACTACTGACACTTACTTGTTATTTACTACTTATTTATCAGTTAGGCATAGTTCATAGTTTGAATTGGCATTACTTACAACAGTATTATTATTGCAAGATTTCTGTTACTAAGTTACTGACACTAACTTGTTATTTGCTACTTATTTATCAGTTAGGCATAGTGTTCATAGTTTGAATTGGCATTTGAAGGCATTACAACAGTAAGTTATTTAGAACTTTCAGCCTCATGAAGGTCTCATCACCTAAACAAGGTATTGCTGGAGCTGCCTGCTTTTTGCTGTCTTGTAATGCGGAGCCGATTCTAACAGTAGCGAAATTGTTAAAACTTTGTATTGTATTTTCGGAAATAAAGACAGTGCTTTATACAAACTGTCTTGAAGATAGGCAAATACTTACTTAGGCCTATTAAGTTACAACTTAGGTTTTAATCGTAGGCCTAACTGACGGATGTGGTTCAGATTTTATGAAATGCAAGTGGCTCGTCAAATGTTCTTTTATAAAATAAATTACCAGGGCCTAAAATTAAGAGTAGGCTCCGCAAAGTATATACACATTTAAATTGTTTCAGGTAACATATAGGGCACGAACACTTGTCGGTAAGTTAGCATAAAACAGTTTGATCGCAAGGGATGGATGAAGGATGAATAAATTGTATGACTAAGCCGATAGCGAGTTTGATCCAGGAAGCTCTGCGGGTGTCAGTATAAACTGGCTGTAGAACGACAAAGTTACTGAAGTGGCTCATCCAACTATGTCTTAGTTAATGAATTAAAAATGGCTAGCCTACATGCATGTTTGGTTACATTAAGTCAAAGCATTATCTTGATCAATTTTAAGACTAAGTTAACTCACCGTTCACCTCTTTGAGACAAATGATATATGTTAACCCGATGAACTTGACCACCATTTTACCTAAAATTTATATGCCTCGACAAAAAAAAATCGATAACTTATGTTTAACTTACACTAAGTTATTATTGTCTTGTTACAGATTCCTTGAAGGTGGCTCAACAAAATGCAAGGCATCAAAAGTAACATCTGATCAGTACGGTTCAAGAAGAAACGAGTGTTGAATTCTGATCTTTGTTTTAAATCAAGATTACCTTATTTGGTAAGAACAGTTAATATATTATTTTGTAATCATATCCATGTGTGCATTAATGTCAATAGTGATAAGTCAACGGTAGTCTCTTGCTGGATCCCTTTTGGCTTAGCCAATCAAATACGAGATCACTGCAATGGTCAGAGCCGCTATCAATTTTTGCTGAAGCATCTGACAGTCGAGGCTTTCCTATAGTTTTATGTACCAACATGTATTTGGGAAAAATTAAATCATGTTTATTCCAGCTAGAGAAGATTTAATTTACCATTTTAATAAAATTGTAGGCTATTGCAAAGCTATCCTCTTAATGTTTCTTCAGGTAGTCACTCATCACATTCAAAAATATGTAGGCTGCCTATAGACTATAGAGGATCAAAGTAAATGTTTACCTAAATTTGTTAATGCCAACAACTTTTTTAGATTTATTTTTGATTTTATGATCTTAATCATAATTCAACCCATCACTAACAAATTTGTGTTATTTTTATGTTTAGACTCATGCATCTTCGGCTAAAGCGACAGACCCTGAGTTAGAGGCAGTTAATCAAAGACTGGCTCGGACAAGCCAAATTCAAGAGGTCTGAGCCAAATACAAGGTAAGTCTTAGTAGTGGTAAGTGAGTAGGCTTAAAGCCTGGTTTACACGGGTAGAGTTGTGGGTAGAGTAGAGTTTCTAGTATAGTAACTCTACCCGTGTATAAAGCCTGGTTTACACGGGTAGAGTTGTGGGTAGAGTAGAGTTTCTAGTATAGTAACTCTACCCGTGTAAACACCCACTAGCGCCTAGTAGCTTGTATAGTAGATAGTAGGTGGTAGAGTAGAGTTACTAGCAACATGTGGCATAGTAGCTCTACTCTACTTCCCCCACCACTAGCAAATTGTCACTCTCCTGCACACTATACTTGTGTAAATGAGATCCGCGGCAGTAGAGTAGAGTTTCTGGTAGAGTGACACTATCCTGTAACTGGTTTATAACACTTATTTTGGGAATGGAGGTGGAACAAACAGTTCACAAACTATCATCAACACTCTACTATGTGTGAACAGTCGCTTGCTTAAAATCGGTAGAGTGGACAAGAAAGTAGCTCTACTATAAACTCTACACTACCAACAACTCTACCCGTGTAAACCAGGCTTTAGTACAGTAGAACTTAGCTTATTCGAATTTCAGAGGAAAGAAAATACCGTATATTTCGAACTATGGGAAGTTTAAAATGTAAAGAGTTTGATTTATAGAGGTCAGAAAAATAAAATTTGAATTGTGGAGGTCCCAGTTTTAAGTGTGGAGTTTGAGAGAATGGAGACTAATGAACACATCTTGGGGGACGGATTGTCAGTTCATGTTTCAACAAAGATATTTTTTGTCTTACGGTAATGCAGTTCGAATTGTAGAGGTTGACTTCGAATTTTGGAAGTAACAGTTTTAATTATGGCAACAAAATTCAAATTGTAGAGGCTGTATTAAGCTTAAAACTACTTTGTACTATCGGTATATTATTTTTTTTAATTTTAGAGGCTTTGTGAGGGGAACAGACAAACATTTCTAATTATATAGGTTTTCGAATTAGCGAGGTTCTACTGTATAGGTACAGTTTATGACTTGGCATAGTGAAAAATATAACACTTAAGTTCCAGAACATAAAAAATTGACGATGAATGTTTTTTACAGAGTGAAAATTATTTCAAGTGTTGCAGTCAGAAGAGATGTGTCTATTCTGTTTCTTCCTCTCTAATATAGTTATTTGTGCAACTAGTGAGAAAAGGGAGCAATTGACTCACTCGAGAGAAATACTTACTCACGAGCCGTAGGCAAGTGTGGAATGGTTTCTTGAGTGAGGCAATTGCACTTTGCACTCGAGTTGTACATTATATTTTTCCTACAGTTACCATAAAACAAATAAATGGTAAAGAAACGTGACATATTTTTACACAGAAGTGAACTTTTAATATTACATTTAATGATACAACAGCTGACCAGCTGATTTACAGCCAGTGCTGCCAACGTATATTGCGCGCATACGACCTTGTCTGCATGTTACACGCTCACTATTTCGTGCCTTCACGTTGCAAATCTGGAGTGATTGAGACAAAGTAATTAGAGTGAGACAATGTTAACATTGTCTCACTGATGAGCGAATTGGCCACTTTGCTTTCTAAAATCAGTGAGAGAACATGCACATTGTTAGGTAACTGTAGGAAAAATATTTTGCCAACAGCCGATCAATGTTAACAATGTCTCACTGATGAGCGAATTGGCCACTTTGCTTTCTAAAATCAGTGAGAGAACATGCACATTGTTAGGTAACTGTAGGAAAAATATTTTGCCAACAGCCGATCAATTTGTCAATGTTTTAAATCTATGCCAGTCTACAGACCAAAAATATTGTTACAACAATGTACATTGCCATATTGTACTATAGTTTTTCAATTTTTTTTAGGAACAAATGGGACAATATTCCTGGTACTGGAGCCAAGCAACACCCAACACTTGGAAACAAAGACCAAGAATAGTTATTTTTAATTTAACAATTTATTATTTTACTTTACAAAATTAACACCTAAATTTTAAAAGCTAGCTTTGGAAAATAAATATGTGTGTTTTATAAATAAAACTATATTTCAACAACTCTTTTGTTTCAATTGATTAATATTTACAATTTGTCCAAGGTAGGCCTATATTGCTATTTTTGGTTTAAGTAGTGAGAAAATATTAGTCTTAAGATATATTTATGTGACCCTATCAAGCATATCGAATGTATTAAGAGAATTAACTATCACTGTAGGTGGCACGATCAGACCTAGACCCGGGACTGATATACTTTTTCATTTTGATGTCCTTAGAGGCCAAAAAAACTATTCATTCAAATTGTTATATATATATAACAACTATATATGTGTCCGTGAACGTGATAACTCAAGTCATTTTGTCTGGTTTTGATGAAATTTGGCTTGAAGGTGTAGGGCAGGATAAACTTGAATGAGTTCCCGAACCAGCACGATCAGACTATGGGAACAGGGTGTTATGGGGTTTTTCTAATTTTTGACCCTCAAAACATAAAAATTCCCAATTCTTCTCTAAACCATTTTGAATAGCTTAAAAATATAAAAATAATTTAGTACATTAAAGTGTTTGTACAATTATTGGTAACGGAGAAAAAAAAAAATTCAAAATTTCCTTTTTAATCTTTTGGAGGATACTGTAAGTAGCCTAAACTGTTTTACGTAGTTTGATTGCTTAATGCTTATGGATATATTTTGAGAAGAATCTGGCAAAATAGCAGGAATCCAATTGATAAACATTTTAATAGGTCATCTTAACATTTAAAGCGGTTGTTATATAATATCAATAATCACTGGTATGAGAAGTACATCAGTGAGAAGTACCCGATCTCTATCACCTATGGCGAAGCCTAAGATTATTCACTATGGGGAGTGGGTCACCGGAAGACTGTCCCCCGGACAACTACCCCCCCCCCCCCCAAGCAGGTTCCTACGTCATGTTGACATCAGAGATCGGGAGGGGGGAGAGTTTTCCAGTCACGGAAACACAAGTTTCGTTGTCAAACTGTTCTAATATCAAACGGATTACCCAAATTAAAAATTACTATTACATAGCATCATATTTTGCTAAGGGGTGGATAGCATTCCAGTCGCGAACACGGCTCCCATATTGGTAAGTTGGCAGATTTCGCGACGTCTTGTTTCACCGGGGGAGCCTGCATTTCCTGGTGAGTTATGAAACGACCTAAGCTTTAAATTAACTTTTTTTTAAAAGTCTAATTGCCTGGGCCAAATGTAACACAGAGAAGCCTTTGCTCAATACTTTGAGGATGTGTTCAAATCAAATGCAGAAGTAAACAACGAGGAAGAGATATTTGAGTATTTGTAGTCTCCATTACAACTTGACTTCTCATTGCAGAAGTAAATATCATCGTAGGTGAAATCAATCATCGTCAACGATCTTCATTCTGACAAGGCTCCTGGTTACAACCTCATAACTGGCAAAATATTTATAGAGCTTCCACAAAAAGGAATTAAGTTTTTACCATGTTATTTAATACAATGTTAAGACAGGAATATGTACCAGCTCATTTCAAAAGGGTACAATCAATTGTCATCCCAAATCCTGGGAAGCCTCTTTGAACAGGTAAAATCATACCGACCTAAGTCTTTTACCAGTAATTCCCAAGGTATTTGAACTGGGTTCCCACAAAAATATCTTAAGTGACGTGAGTGTATTAACAGAATTCCCTGACAGAATTCTGTTAATTTCCCTGACCACAGCACATTTTAGGTACTGTGAGTTCTCAATATTTAGGTATAAGCTTTGACTATTATCCAATAGACAATGGTATAAGGTAAGTATTTATCGTTTAAAAAACTACTTATTTTTATTTAATACGGCCTCCGCCATTACACCTAATTTTAGTGAATTTTCCAAATGGGGAATAAGCTGTTACCGCAGGTCTCTTGATAAGACCTAGACCACCAACCGATTTACTTTTTTGTTTTGACAAATTTGTTTATTTCATATTAAGCGTTCAAGATTTGAATAAAAAACACTCATTTTATTTTCTGTAGCAACACACCAACCTATTGTAGTGCAGAGTGTGGGAACCCTTTGTGTCAGTTAGATTCAGGCCCACTTTATAAACGGGCAGACTGCGCATATGCCCAGGGGCACCGGAGGTTTAGGGGTGCCCCCCAACCACCGCCCGCCCGCACTAGGAAAAAAGGGGGCGCTGCTTTTGGGTTTGACCAGAATTTCACTGACCCTTAACGCTGCCCTGGTTAGACTAATGTATCGGCAATCCTAAAATGCTATGGGAAGGGAGGGAAGAGGGAATTAGGTCCACGAGGTAGGAAGGGGAAAAGGAAGTAGTGAAGGCTAGCAGTGCAGAGTGGGAACCGTTTGTGGCAGTTACATTAAGGTCATGGAAGGAAGGGAGAAGGTCCACGACGTAGGAAGTGGTGAAGGAAGTAGTAAAGGTGCTGAGTGTGGGAACCGTTTGTGGCATTAAGATTAATGAATCGGCTATCCTAAAATGCCATGGGAAGGAAGGGAAACAGGTCCACGACGTAGGAAGAGCTGAAGGAAGTAGTAAAGGCTAGCAGTGCAGTGTGTGGGAACATTTGTATTTTGTATTATATCCATAAACATTTTTTTATATTTATTGTTTCATTAAAAACCATGAAACATGATTGCTACACTCAACTGGTTTTCACTGCTATAAAAGCAAACCTAGTTTTCAAGTCGAGGCTTGCTTTTTATTAGAACATTAGATGCTAACTTACAGTATTTCTACAGACTATATCTGGCATCTTAGTTTCAGATCAATTCTGACCAAGTAGGCAAGGTTTTTAGATTTATCTATCGACTGATTTGTTAACAACTCAAATGAATAAGCTAGGCCTAAGTTAGATAGCCTTAATTCAAAGGCTTCGAGCTTGTTTTTTAATGTTAACCTAGTTTTTTTATTTTACTGGTTACAGCCAAGTAGTTATCAAAATTAATTGGGATAGCTCTAAGTGTAACCAACTAAAGTTACTGACTGGATGTTATTGAAATGAAATCGTTAGGCCCTAAGTTATGCATACATCATTTAAAATTTAAGGGTGTTTTGTCACAGTGTCATATCTTCACTAATGTAAATGTCCCACACCCACAGTTAAAATAGTTTTAAGGCCTAACTTACTTGAGTTTAAGAGCTAACTTAACTTATTAAATTAATTTACATCGATAAATTATGTTCACTTAATTACTCTCAAGAGTTAAACTGACGTTCTAACATCCACTTAACTTAATTAATCAAACTGTAGGCCTAATTATTACAAAAAACCTTATTGCAAGTAAATTAATGCTTCTTAACCTAACCTAACTCAACAGTTGACAAATCAAGTAGCAAACGAATTTGATTACGCCTGCTCTCCTTAGTTATAACTTTTCAATAATAACTAATAATCATTGAAGTGTAAGTGGACGAAGACTTTATATTAAGAGATGAAGTTAGGCCATGCTTTGGCCATTGTACCATAACCTATTTTTGGTGGATTAATAATAATTGGTACTGATGAATGTTGTTTTAACGAAGAACTGACAAGGTAATTAAACCTTATAAATATTTTGAGATGTCTAAAGGAAAATCTACTACTAAGTGTGGGGTCTGTCGTAAGGCGGTAGTCGAAAATTCATATGCCCTAGGCTGTGATTTTGGCTGTAACCTGTGGTATCACATTGAGTGCGTAGGTATAAGCATTGAAGAGCATGATAGGCTAGTAGAAGAGAAAGAAAACTGGTACTGTGATAAATGTAGTTTAAAAAATGACAAAATTTTGCTAAACCAAGAAATTAAATCTCTAACCTCAACCATAACTCTGCTGCAAGAAGAAATTCAAGAATATAAGGCCTTGTATGATAATGTTAGGAAACAAAATGTTAACCTTAGTGAAATCTGTCTTGCGAAAGAGGAGGAAATTATCAAACTTAAGAAGGAGTTGGACACTGTTTCATCATGTGCGGAAATTGGCGTGATGAATATAAGCACTAGGCCTAGCCTAAATAGTCAATCACCAATTAATATTTCAGACTTTCCTCCACTACAACTTAAGAATAAGTATGCTAGTCTGGCGGGCAAGTCTGGTGAAGGTGTGGATGAAACTTTGGCAGACACGAGCTTGATTAACTCCGGGGAGCGGAGAAGAGCGAGAAGAGGCAGTATGAGACGCAGAAGTGAGAGCAGAACCCAAACTCCAAAACCCAAACCTTTGAATGATTGTTCTACACCTCAACCACCATCTAACCTAACTTTACCTCCCTCTCACAATAGTTTTGACTTAAACCCATCCAACACACAAACTGACAACAGGAATTGCACCCAAGCAAGTAGGCCTAAACCTAGTCCTAACACAGCAAGGAGGAAGATTTTGATTGTTTCGGATAGCCATGGCAAAGATTTAGCTAGCTATCTAACTGTTCTGACTCAGAATAAATTTAACATCTTCTCTCTGTGTAGACCTGGTGCTAAACTGGTGGATGTTATAGACGGACTAAACAAGCAGGTTGAGGGTATGTGTAGTGAAGACACCGTTATAATTATTGGAGGCAGTAACGACATCTTCCAGGGGCTGTCTTCAATTATCTCGAGCAAAGTGAGGCAAAGACTTAAGTGTCTCAAGAATCTCAATGGGCCTAAAGTAATAATGATGAAGCTGCCACCTAGGCACGATGATCCACGACTCAACTGGACAATCCAAGAGTGTAATAAAGGACTTGAGGCTAACAATGTAACTAAAGACTTCAATTTTATATCTGTAGGTAACTTTAACAGAAGGCTCTTTACAAATCATGGGCAACACCTAAACAAATCAGGTAAATTTTTATTGAGTAAGCAGATATTGTCTTGTTTAATAAAACTAAATAATAAGAGTAGGCCTAATGTAACTTCGAATGAACTGTCTTTTTTAGAGAGGACTTAGAAACTCAGGGGTTTGCATTGCCCAATAGGATGCCTATAGGAGAAGCTATAACTAATAATAACAGTAGTAATGTTTTAAATTCATCAATATCTATGTTGCAAGTAAATCTGCAAAGTATTAGAAATAAACTGTTGGAGCTTGAACTTTTCTGTGGTGATCATAATATAAATGTAGTATGCGTTTCTGAGCATTGGCTAACTGTAGATGAAATAGATTTTTATGTCCCTAGTGGATTTGTACCTGCAAGTTTTTTCTGTAGAATGGTATCTAGAAATGGCGGAAGTGGTATATTCATTAAAGAAGGGATTAATTTTAAAGTAATTGATTTAGATGTTTTTTGTAAAGAAGTAGACTGTGAATTTAGTTGTGTAAGATTAGTGGAGAGTAATATTATTGTGTTGAGTTTGTATAGGTCCCCACTGGGCAACGTAGAAACATTCCTGGAAAACTTTGAATTGGTTCTGACAAAATTAAATAGTCTAGGAGCTTATATCACAGTTTGTGGTGATTTCAATATTGAATTGGGAAACCCAACTGACAGAAAGTCACAGCTTTTTCTTAACCTTATTAGGTCTCTAAATTTAATCTGTACTTTTAGCAAACCTACACACATAAATTCTTGCATTGACAATATTTTGGTTAATTTTTCAAATGAACAGTATAAAGTGTGCTCTATTGATGGTAATTTCTCCATCCATAGTGCTCAAATTATAAATATAGAGTCAAAGAAAAACAAAAATATTGATAAAACTGATAAAAATCTTGTTAACAAGGTATTCTTCAGGAAACAAACTGAAGAGAATATTAAAGCTTTTAAAGAGCAATTGTGTAATAACCAGTGGGGCATGCTTGACAATTATGTTGCAGGCAGAATTGGTGTTGAAACTTTATTTGATGATTTTTTTAAGCAGTATGTAACACTTTGGCACTCTTGTTCACCTTTGATGCATAAGAGGAATGACAAAAACAGAAGTTCTTTAAAGAAAGTTAAATGGTTTTCTGAAGAATTAGTAAGGGAAAGAGAGTTGATGTTGAGTTTGTTCAGTATCTATAAGAACTATAGAAGTTGTAACTCTGACTTAATGCATAATGCCTATATAGCTTACACATCCTGTAAAAAGAGGTATAGAAATAATTTAAGATTGGCTAAAAGGCAAGCCTGTGAACGTTATATAGAGGCTGCTCCAAACAAGTGCAAAGCAGCCTGGGATATAGTTAAGCAGGAGCAATATGCAATTGGCACACACCAAACAACACTAGATCCTGAACAGCTCAATCAATTTTTCATGGAATCTGTTACAACACTATCAAATAACATTCCAGCTACCAACACAAGTGTCTCAGAGTTACTGGGTAATGGTTTAACAGCAGTTGAGCCTTTCAGTTGGCAAGATACCACTCCAGAAGAAATTTGCAGTATAGTTTCAACTTTTTCAAATTCTCGTAGCATGGATTACTATTGGTTATCTAATTATGTCATCAAAAAAACCATTCATATCATCAAAGAACCCCTGGCCTTCATTTTTAACATTTGCATGCAACATGGGTACTTCTCAGACCTCCTAAAAATTTCCAAAGTTATTCCGATTTTTAAAAAAGGTGACAAGTCTTCTCCAGAAAATTATAGACCCGTATCAATTGTTCCCATCTTCTCAAAAATTTTTGAATCTCTTATGCATAGGCAGCTTTCTTCTCATTTTGATAGACTTGACCTATTATCTGACTCTCAGCATGGCTTCCGCAGAGGAAGATCAACTACATCGGCTGTCATGGAGATTGTTGATTATTCTTTAGATGCATTTGAGAACAAAGAATCAGTTGCTGTGTCATTGCTAGATCTGAGCAAAGCATTTGATTGTGTACCTTTCAATACCTTACTAGACAAACTAAAATTTTATGGAGTTGAGGAGAAATCACTTAAAGTAGTTCGGTCTTACTTGACAGGTAGGAAACAATATGTCTGTGTTCAGGGTACTAATTCCAATGTTGTGGACATCAAATTGGGCGTGCCCCAAGGATCTGTTCTTGGACCTTTCTTTTTTATAATTGCCATTAATGATCTTCCAAAGAATCTTAAATCTAGGTCAGTAATATATGCTGATGACACATCAATTTTTGCCAAAAATTCAGACAAAATAGAACTTTTCAGTGAAATCAGTGAAGCCCAGGGAGATGCTCTAAATTGGTTCTTCACAAATAAACTTCTCTGCAACCAAAGTAAAACCCAAAACATTATTCTTAGCACCTCCTTAAATCTGGACCTACAAACAGTAAAGCTATTAGGTATTCATATTGATTCCAAGCTGTCTTGGCATGCTCACATAAACAACCTTTGTAAAAAGATTTCACGGGTCAGCTATCTTTTTTGGAAGCTGAGGGATTCTGTGTCAGATGAATACCTCAGAATGACTTACTTTGGTTTATTTCAATCTCATTTATCTTATGGACTGGTTCTCTGGGGACATGCAACGGCCGTATCAGATGTGCTTCTGATTCAGAAAAAAGTTCTTAGAATCATGTGCAGAGCTAATAGATTGGACCACTGTCGACCTTTATTCAGACAAATGAAAATTTTAACAGTAACTAACTTATACATTCTACATATTCTGATTTACACTAAAACTAATCTTCACCTTTTCCTCACCAGGCAAGATATACACCTACACGAAACCCGAAACAGGACAAAACTCAACATTCCACAGCACAGATTGGCAAAATTCGGCAAATCACACAAGGCAAATTGTATCAAATTTTTCAACAAACTACATGAATCAGCAAGGACCACCACACCAAAAATCTTCAAAAATAAGGTAACTGCTTGGCTCTTAGACAATCCATTTTATAATATTTATGAATTTTTAAATACATGTGTAGAAATTAGTTTCTAGCTGTAGGTAGATCTTTATGACAACCTGTTTTAATTTAATGTAACTATGACAATGCCTATCTCATGTATATGATCAATGGCAAATAAACCATTTCATTTCATTTCATTTCATTTCATTTCATTTCATTTCATTTCATTTCATTTCATTTCTCTCCGCTCGCGAGTCGCGAGAAACGGTGACGTCATCATCTTCATCCCGGGTCCGTCTGGCGCGCCACTTGTGGAGCAAATTTGAACTAATTAATGACGTCATCGTCCTACTACGAGTCCTCCCCCCATCGCGACCGGAAATAGTCCCAGTATATCGACAAGCTCCCGTTCTTTGGAGCTACTCTTGAAAAGGAGTTGTTCTAATTCATCGTTCAGTTCCTCAACTCACAAGTCGCAATATTTGATTCCGGGCGTATTCCGATTCCGAATTCCGACGGACATCTTCAAGCTGACCATTTAAGTTATTTATTGACTAAAAACTTTTAAGTATATTGTAAATATTTATCTTTTTTATTTCTTTCCTTGTTTACAATAAAATAGATGACTCGAGTGTTACAAACAATAGTTTTTGTTTTTAAGGAATAATGTGAAATAAGTTAATTTTTATAGGGTAAATAACTTAATCAACATGATAACTTAATAACATTAGTCCTACCATACACTAACTTAGGTAAGTCACCAACAAGAACCTACAGCTTATTCGTAGGCTAATTCTGGATCATCAAGCAACATTGTAGCAAATGTTTGGATAGGCACTATCCCTAGGCTATTAGGATTGTCTCTTTTTCCCACTGACCCAGTGTCAACTTTAAGAATTTGTTTAAGTTATGTAAAAATATTTGGCTGCACTTTAGTTTATGTCCTACATTCATTCAAATGAAATATATTAATACATAGACTATTTAATATTTTCAATATTTTATTCCGTTAGTTAGGTTAGGTTTTACCCTAACATTAACCAAAATTGATATAGGCCTAAGTTTATTGAATGAAATAATCAATATGACTGGGACAGGTGGCGTTGTCCTGTAATCCAGAGAGCTACTAGGAGGTCACGAATTGTGGATATTTATAGGCTTGCACTGTGGATGCGATACTCCCTGGTGTGGATTAACGTCCGCACGAGTGAGTACTACGACTATCCGCAGTACTATCCTGATAATTAGACCAATTCGTATATACCAAGGCAATAATGTGGTTCAGATTCCACTATAAACTGTAGGTCCCTTAGTTGCCATTAGCTGTATGGGCTATTAATTAACAGCTGTGTCTAAGGAATGTCAGCCTTAGTCACTAACGAGACTACAAGATCGCGCCACTCATCCTGATCCTACACTCATTTCCATTCATACTTGGCTTAAAATACGGTACCTACTTTGTATGGTCGCCAAGTAATAAGAAAGAAAGTTTAGAGAAATATATTCATTGGAATGAGTGTAGGACGTAAAATTATGTGCTGTCAAATATTCTAGAGCTGTTTGTATTTGGTGTAAGACTAGACTTGGATTATATAACTTAATTCATTGCTCATGACATCAATGTTAATTTTATAGATGATCCTGCAGCAAAGGCTGTAATTTGACCTGAACCCAAATTGGTCTCTATTTTAAATATTGTCTTGAACCAATAAGTTAAGAGGACTAACCTTTCTGGACGACATTGCCATCGACATCACTGCAGATGAGAGAGAAAGAGAGACCAGAGTTGTGGACCCTGGAGGCAATTACCATACTGCCGATAATGTTACTTGGTCTAACCATAACTTAAGTGAGGTGAGTCAACATTCTTTCCCCTTTGTGATAGATTCTAGGCTATGTTTGTTAACTAAGTTATTCAAAGTTCAAATCGGTACTTTGGTAAGTATTATCCGGAGGCTACAGATAGGCTATACAGCGCTTTGCGGCGGTTATGTTAGGTTGGGTTATCATAAATGAAAGGAACATTTTTATGTCCTAGGCCTACTGTCCATATTTGGGTGGGTTCCATATTATCGACAACCATAGAAACTGATCCAAACTGAATCATTTGCATTTAGTGTTGAACAGAGTTTGAACAACTAATTATTTATATGTTTTATGTTAACTTTAGGGAAAATATAATGTGTAACACAAGTGCAAACTGCCTTTGCTGCACTCGAGAAACTTTCCACACTCGCCTACGGCTTGTGCATAAACATTTCTCTTATGTGTAGCAAAGTCCCACTTCGCCCACTAAGTTACCTACACAAATAAACTATTATTAATAGTTTTTTGTGGAACATAAGGATAATTAATTAATCTTTATGCAAATTTATAGTTTTTTATAAAAATTTAAAACTAGGCCCCTACTTAAAATGTATTTGGATACATCTCGAAACATGTTGTTTGGAAATGTCTTAATTAGGCTAGAGCTTGCATTTTTGCAAATTGGGAAATAACAAATAATTAATGTTTAACACGTTCGCTACCGAGCGAGGCACATATGCGTTGGTCCGGTCACTCCTACAGACCAAAAGGAATGATCATGATGTTGCTTACAGACCAAGTGATATAGGAATAACATTGCCAACAGACCAAAAGAGAAATATCGTTTAAATGGACGAATTGACTTCATATTAACCTTAAGTGAATTAGTAAGCAATAAATATTGTTTTTATTTATCGTTTTGAGCAAATTTGAAAACGCTGCATGTATGCGTCGGTCAGTCTATTTAATGAAATCTATATAATTAATACGCTACATGAAACTTTGTCGGTTGAACTCCTCCGCCATTTCTTAACTGATTTTATCCATTGATGTCTCATTGGAAAGAGCGTGTCGCGTATATTTGCAAACTGGCCTTACATTTTTGAAAAAGTCCCTTGGGCTCTGCCCCAGGGGCTTTGAAAGTTCCCATGTTATCCTTATGAAGAACATAATTGTTTACATTTTGATCAGCTGTATAATTTAATTGCTGTTATTTATTTATTTACTATTTGAGTTTGTGTAAACATAACCCCCAAGATGGATCGTGTTAGTATGGTTCTATCTTAAATTTGTGTATTTATCGTTGTTTTGTGTCGCTATGACGGATCGTGTTAGCACGATTGTAACTTAAATTTGTGCATTTATCGTTGTTCGTTGTTTTGTGTAGCTATAATTTGTTTATTTGTTTTTTCTTTTAAATGCCTTCGACGCGACGACAACGAAACATAGACAGGAGGCGTAATCGTGATAACGACCGCAGCTACTTATATCCAATTCCAATCCACAGTGGTGCGTAATAGGCTTAAATCATCACAGTCAGCACCTGACCTTGGACAATCTCTACTATTAGGCTACAAATGGGCCCTAACACTATCCCAAAACGACTTTTCGTTCCCAATTGGCCCTCTATCAATGACCTGTGTTGCCTGTACAGCGAGGCATTTTGAGAAGGAGAAAACCGGCCGGAATGCTTTAGGTTTATCAATAACGAAGATAAACATGGTCTGAGTTACACACCGGTAATCTTTGAGTTGACTCTTTTAAACTCATTGTAAATATGACTGTTATTCGTTTTTAAATAACTCCTGTAATACATTGCAATTGCTCGAATTCGAGCAACATGTACACTAGTCTAGATAAAAAGATTACCTACATTTTCGTTTCAATAGACCAGGCGACACACGTTTAAGCGTCGTTGTTTTTAAATTGTTGTAAATTTGGTTGTTTCAAGCTTTTACACAAACAAATAAAGAAACTCCACCACTCGCCAAAACTGCAAAGGTTATAACGTTTACATCTGTTCTGAGATGTCGCGGAATGCACAATGTAAACAACAATGTTGCCAACTGTTGTGTGACGTAACCAATCGTCAAATCCACAGACCAAGCGATGCACATTTGCGGCAGATATCCCTCTAGACCGATACGATAAAATCAGGGCTTTAAAATAGACCGTTGCTAAGAAATACGCTGATTAATAACATTGAACTAGTCTATTTCAATGTGATCAGCTGACGCAAATATGCGTCGGTGGTCTCGTGAGAAACGAGTCTACGCACAATTGCGTCGCTGGTCTATGCGAACGTAAATTCCATATAATTGTGGTAGCGAACAAGTTAAACCAATTTATTTTGTCTAAACCAAATTATTGTTACAAATTCTAATATTTGTACTAACTTGACCCAGATTTGCTCAAACATTTTCCTATTAGCTGTACCTATTTTAATATCGCAAATAGGCTATAGAAAGGAGTGTACACACTTATTATTATTTTTTATTATTTTATTATTTTAGTATTATTTTTTGGACTAAAATTATTTGTATAGGCCTAACACTATTTTTTGCAATATTTCTGTACAGAACTGAAGCCTACCAGTAAAATGGGGGCGTTGTAATTAATATCCTCCGACATTGGAGAATACAGGGGAGAGGTGTCAGAGGAAGAGGAGATGGAGGATGGGGCGAAGTAAAGACTAAGATTGAAGAGAACTAACTAATGGTAAGTTTTGCCATTTACTTATAAATCCAGGGCCGTGTCCATTGCCCCCAAGCCTATGTCGCATAACCCTCCTGAATTACTAGTATTTAACCAGCATTTTAACTCGAGAGGCGCTCAAAAATTTGCTTTTGTTTTTTAGGAAATGTAGGCTATATTTTTTGACACCATAATTATAATTGTTCTGAATATGTCATAGTTTTTACATTTGGTAAGTACTGAAACAACAATAATTTTAAGACAAATGGAAAAGCCCCTGTCAACAGAAGCAGTTGAAACAAGTATAAAAATTCTCATACATCAATAAGGTATTTAGTACAAGCGTGGTTCAATAAGACCTTAGAAGAATATAGTATAACACAATTTTGCTATAATCTCCTTTTATTTAGCTCTATACACTTATCTTAAAGTTTCTCCAACCTCGTTCAAATTATGTCCAAATAAATAGTACCCTACAAACTTGAAAAGCCTTCAAAATACTCTTCTGTTTCAGTGAT